AAATTATTCTGATGCCTTTGAGACGGCCCAAATCCCCGGGTTAAAACCGAAGTAAAGTATGTATTATGACTGAGGTTACTTTTCCAGATTTACTTTGGAAATTATATTTTTCGTTATTAATATATCGTAGGCAAGTCATTTCAAGTGTTAATTTTATATTATTACATGTTTTAACAGGTAGTTTATACCGGGTGTTTTTCAAAAAGTCACCTCTATAACTTATATTTTTTCAGATAAAAAAACGAAGTTTTTTATGTTAGTATATGACATAAATTAGGATTGATTGACGTATTCAATTGTTTTCAGTCACTTCCTGTTTCACCGGAAATGACTACAAATTTGTATTTTTTTACTTTATTCAATAGAAAACGACACTCCGAATAAAGTGACATATCACGTACCAAATTTTGACATTTTTGTTTAAAAAAATCGTACCATTCCATCAAAAGTGCCATAGTTGTGGTAAAACACTAATTTTTAATCAAGGAGTCTTGGAAAAATGGATTTAATCGTCTGATGTTTTTAGTGTTTTATCCGGCCGGGTAAAAGATGTCCAAATCGTATTTTTATTCATATGTCAACTTTTTCAAATGGAACAAGGGTGGCTCATTAGCATATTTGGTAAAAGCATTTTTTACGAATAATTTGATACCACCCTAGATCACATAATGTATACTTACGTGGATAAATGAACGCCATAAGTTTAGCATTAAAAAATATGTCCCCAACATCACGACATGCGATTTTCAAGCCTCCTTTATTGCATTTATGGAACGTTCAATAGGTTTGTCTTTCCCGAGGGCCTTACTTTGCGCATGCGCATTAAAAATTGCACGTATTTCAAAAATAATCACAACTATAAGAAAATGTCTAAGTTGACATGATATACCAAAAAACTAAGATGGAGTATATGCCACGATTTTTGCATTTTCCTTTTTTATCAAAATCATTTTTAGTAGTAATTTTAAATAAGAAAAAATGTTATATAATTTTATAAAACGTTTTATAGAAAGAAAAAGATAATAAATAACATTTTCAATCAATCATATACGTATATTTTACAATATGGCACTTATTCGAAAAATTTAGCCCACTACCCAGTTTTTAATTAAACGATATGACCGTCTGCTTGAATCGGACGCGTCTAAAATTTAAATTTAACTACGAATTGCCCGATTCGGCAACCCATCCGACAATGGCCGCTATTAGATTTTTATTTCTGCCATGACGAAATTAATACGGGAATAACTAATCGTCCGCATTCAATTTATTAATTATTAAACGAAACTGTAACGGTTTGTCGATTCTATCCAATAACAGGCGCAATTTCACGGTATCACATGCCGCAATCGGTTTTTGTGCAAGGAGAATTTTATCGATCCAGACTCTAAATCATATTAAACATTTTTCTAAGGAGAATTTCCATATCGAAAATGGTGCAACGTAATAATAATTTGAAAAATTTGCGGCCTGTTAGTTATTAATTTAATTAGAAAATAAGAACATGGTTTACGAAAACTTCTAAACAAAAAATACATAACTATTTCTGGTTTGAAATCTATTTTGTATAGATTGCATTTTCATCTAGTAATACAGGACGAAGCTAGGAGAGATCCTGAAAAAATCGCCAAATACACTGATGGATATTACATTACTGGGCCGTTTGATTTCGGAAAAGGCCAATATCGACTCTGAAATTCAGCACAGGATTAGCAGCGCCTCGAGAGCATTCTGGAAATTAAAAGACAGGGTTTTCTACAATCATGACTTGAGCACAAAAAACGAAACTTGCAGTGTACCGAGCAATAATAATTCCCACCATGTTATATGGAAACGAAACCTGGGTACCGTACCGCCGACACATGAACGCATTAAACAAGTTGCAATTAAATTATAAATTCAACTGATCAGTGTTAAAGATCTAATATCAGTCATAATTAAAATGATTTATGTATTTAAAAGAAACAGAAGAAAACTACAATACCTACCTTGTACAATCTAAAATTAAATTTCAGTAATAGTTTTCTGTTTCTGTAATTTCATTTAACGAATTCAATATAATAAATAGTCTGATGTCGGCGATTGGTACAAAATGGTACGACATAACCTGTTAAGCTGAGCTCCGTTGCGAAATTCCGATACTCGGAAAAGTTATGGAAATAATTCACGAAGACCCGACTTGGCTGGCTTATTTTCCATTGAAAATTAAAATGTAAATAATGATTCGAGCTAATATTAATTTATTAATGTCATGTTATGCCAATCAGGTTCATTGTAATAGAGTTTGATTAGACGGGAAAATATAGAGGCTTTAGAGTTGAGTTTTTTTTTTGGTTTAAATTAGAAATATTAATTTTACTTTGATATTATCGGTATTTGTTAATTTAATAATCTATTAATAGTAAAATTAATGTAATGAATTCATTTTGCAGATAATTATATCTATTTCGTTATTTTTTTTGGTTAAGGAAATTCAATTAGAAAACTGGTTGCCATTCATATTCATATAGTTGACAATAGTAAAAAACCATAGACAGTCTGGTTTCCGTTTTAATTCAACGCAGTGATGTTTTTAGAAAAAATACCTTTTTTTATTTTGTCGATAACGATAAAAAAAAGACGATAAAATGGTATTTTATCGACGACCGAAAAGATTCACGAGCAATGAAATCGCGAGTTAATTAATTTCGGGAGACTATAATGCAATTTTATCGTCGTGTATAAAACAATATTTTTTTCCACAGCGAGTTACGTTTTAAAAAATATTCAGAAATTATTATTTCAAGGAATTTATTACGAGTGGAATAAATATTGTGCTGGGTTGGCGTTGGCTTCTATATAATTTGACAAATAAATAAAGCTGTCTCTTGAGTTGTCAAAGTTTTGAGTCAATATCAGTCAATATTTTTTAATTCTCTTTTGTGTCGATTGCTGATTGAATTGGAGCCAGAAATGGCTCAAAACGAAATAAGTAAATTACCAACAGATATTCATTCCAAACTACTTCCATTTAAATCCCGAATAACTTATGATAAGGAAAACAAAAATATTCAAAAATGAAAGCAATTAAAAAACGTGCGAGAAGATTTAAAGTACTATTTTATCTATTATTTTTGATAGAAGAGATATAGAGATATAAGACAATTTTAACAGTTGCTATGAAAAAAACGTTTTTTATTTATTTTCCAGTAGCGGAAAACCCAGCCTTTTTTCAAAAAACTACTATTTGTTCACTATTTTTACAAATTAAACTGCTTCAATATTAAAAGCATGAAAAATAGTTCTCCAAAACACTATTTATGAATAGGAACTTTTCTTCATTTTTTCCTATTAATTTAAAAACTTAATGGTTTATGTTGTAGCTTTTTAGAACTTGCTGAACGGGTTCCGAGACCTTTAATTATTGTAAAGTTAGGTTTAATGGCCATTATAGAATCTAAAACAACATACCTACACTGAATAGGCGGCGTTCCTCTGTTGACATTATCATGAACTAACGCTTTGTGAATGTATATACCAGGATAGCGCATCGCCATTATAGCTGGAAGGTATATGATATAGGAAGAGAGCGAATGAAAATATGAATACTTACAGATTTGTTTACAAAACTTATAAATTTTGATATAAAATTGAAGAATTATCTGTTTTGTATGTTTTAGCATTTTCAATAGTAATATATTACAGTTGTATTTTTTTTATTTAAAATTGTAGAAATAATTATTATGTATTATAATATACAGGGTGAGTCTTATATAAGTGCAAATATTTTTAGTGGTGGTATATTTTGACCCCAAAAACACGAATATCAGGTTCCTTTTCCCCGATTTTTTTAATTTTTTTAGTTAAAGAACATAATTTCTTGATAATATGGCAATAGATACAGTAGATTAAATTTACAAAGAAAAAAAAATTAAAACCCAGAAAAATCCAGTGGTTCTCAAAATTTAAGCAAAAAATAATTTTTGGAAATTTCAAACTGAAATAACTCGGTTATTTTGGACTTATATATTTGAAAAACTGTAAAGAGAAAATAAGTTTCTTTTATCGAGATCTTTCGGCCCTGGAAATAGTTGTACTTATCTAAGACTCACCCTGTATACAGGATGAGTCTTGAATAAGTGAAAATATTTTCCGGGCTGGTAGATTTCGATAAATGATATTTTCTCTTTGCCGTTTTTCAAATAAATAAAAACAGCCGAGTTATCCTACTTCGAAAATTTAAAAAATGCTGAAATGTTGAGAGCTACTGTATTTTTTCTATTTTTCCAAATATAATCTATAACCTATATTGCTATATTATCAAGCTATTATGCTTTTCGATCAAAAATTCAAAAAAATCGAAAATACTTTTCATTTTTTCGGGAAAAACTTCATAGACGTGTTTCGGGTCGAAATATACAATCCTTTAAAACAGTTAGCACTTATTTAAGATTCATTCTGTATAAATAATACATTTAAAGTTTTGTATTTTTTTATATTTATTTGACATAATTTGTTTCTTTCAATACATTTATGTATCTGATAGGCATTTATTCATTTTTCCTTTTTAGGTTTAAGAAAACTATACATTTTTGTAAGAAAATACGTAAAATATTGTATTTATATACAGTGTATATTAATAAAAGTCGAGATTGCTAAAAAAGAAATATATTATGCAACATAACAGCACTTTTATGTAGCTTAGAAAATATCCATATTTTACCACTAGGAGAATGAAGACAAGTATTTATCGGTTACAGAGAAAAATGACTGAATAAAAATGCAACGGAATTTTGCAAGTAGTATTTTAAACAGTTATTTTTAAAGTCTTTGAGAAGTTTTAATTTTTTTATTATTACAATCTTGGAATCAGATTTAGTCTAGTATTAACAAACTGATGTTTAGATATCAAATATAAATGTATATTCTTATATTTATAATAAACGAAATATTAATCGATAGACACATAATTTATTATTTATAATTTTGATGTACTACATATAACACTGTCTTTTTTTCAGCTTGTCAGTACAACGAATTTGACTGTGGAAATGGCCAGTGTATACCGGATGTCTACAGATGTAGTGGAGCACCAGAATGTAGCAATGGTCGTGATGAAACTAACTGTCCCAGCAGAAGCCGTAAGATTCACATTTTATCTATTTTATTATTATTTTACCACAAGAAATTCAGTTTTCTAAGTATAAAAAAGTTATAGTTTCAACACAACATGACGTTAAAATCTATTTCAAGACAAACGTCATAGCTTATTTTATATTTCTTCTTTTACTATACTTTACAGAATTCATTTACATTGTCTATAAAACTATTATAAAAATTAATTCCTTCTTATTAAATAAAAATCACGTCATAGTAGGCGTAGAAATAATAGTTTTCTTGTCTTTCTAAGTCCTTGTTTAAATTTAGAATCTATAGGTCTTATTAATTTTGTTTACATTTATATCTTTATGTTGTAGTTTTAGCGTTTAAGAATAATCTCAAATAACTTAAGCTGCCATCATAAGAATTAGGAAATACTATTTATATTTTTATATCGTTTAATCTTTGAAAACGTTATTTATCTGTTAATAATTCATGGCCAGCTGACATCCTCACAGTTAAGAACTTGGCAGAATCCAATATGTCCACATTATTTAAATTTGTCATATAGGGTTCTGCCTTGCTTCTCTGCAGTAAAGATCCAATGGAAATTATATTTCTACGCCTACTGTATGTACATTTTTATTCCTTCATACTGTATATATTACTATTTTTTGACCAATACTTTTTATTTTCTATCACTTCTTAAAAAAAATACCTGTATTGAGTTATAGAAAAATTTGCATTTTTGATAAATATTCTTGTAAAAAATGCCTGCACAAATTTGCTACTTAATGGCTGAATTTAATGGCTTGAAAATATTGCACGGCTTTGATTTTTTATGTGTATTTTTGAAAATTGATTTATTAAGTACTTATTTTGCACAACATACTTGTTCTTGTTTATTTATTAAGGTTTTGGGTTACGATCAAGTTTATTTATCCAATTCAAAGATTATCTTAAGTTTTATAATTTTTATTATAAGCGAACTATATAAGTTGTATTCACAGTTTCAAATGGGAAACTGGACTTGCTTGTCAGAGTTGGAAATGAACTTGGAGCTTTGCTATTAATTTCTTACTCCCTAAATTGGCCGAGAGTGCTTATTGATGCCTGGTTCCTAATGGAACTAGGCTTATCTTTATCCACTCTATAGATTATTTACGCTGTTGCCATTATTATATCTTATTATATATTGATATATTTATTATACCTATAAAATGAAATACTAATATTGATAAAAAATCAATCAATAAATTAACCAAGGCGTTAGTATAAATGAAGTTAATGAAAATTAAAAAATATAATAAAGATAATTTAATTAATTTTAAATAATCTTTGAATTGTAATTCATTAAGAATTATTAAAAGTGCTACAACATTTTGTAGTGTTTATACTTTTCATAATTTTAGTCAATGCCTGAATTATGTTTTTACAGGGTGATCTTGTATACTGTTAGAAAGTAATATCTTTTTCATATATATTTTTTTTTTATTTTTTTTCTGTAGTGCCCTCTAAATGTCACATATGTAATAAAAGGTATCTGCACTTCTCAAAAGTTTGAACCAAAAATTTAGTATAAAAAATATTTTTTTGATATAATACTTTGTAGCCTTTTACAAGAGCTCACCCTGTATAATTTCCCTAACCGAATTTGTTTTGCATGTTAGATAATGCTATAGGGGCATGTTCATTCGACGAGTTCGAATGTTCGAATGGTGAGTGCATTCCCAAAAGTAAACAGTGCGATAGAGAATACGATTGTAGCGATCAAAGTGACGAGAGATCATGTCGTAAGTGTTACAAACCGAAGTCACCGTTTCTATCGTCATTTAAATGGTTCAGTTTGACTAATATTGTTATAAAAAATGACCTGTTTCTCGAAATTTACATGTTTCACAAGAATTATAATTTAAATGTTAATTTTCGATAATTTTATTACTTTTTTCTTTTTAATATTATTTAAATTATTAGCATTATGTTTAAATATATATTTAGTTACTTGTTTTTTTTATAACAATGAAGTCAGTTCATTTATTTTGTGTTGTAGTTTCAGATCGTTGTCTTCTTTCATTTACTTTTCTTTTGCCAGTCTGTTCTGTATTCTCCTAAATTAGTTTATAAATACTCCTATTTTATACTGTTATTCTTCATACCTTAAAATTTTCATGTAATTAAAGTATAATATATTTTGTTCTAGTTCGATTTTAATGATTTTTAAGCATTTTTAGATAAATTTTATGACTTTTAGCCTCTTAGATTAGAAAAAAGATGAGGGTAAATAAAATGTTATTTTACTTTGGAACAAAAAATGATTTAACAAAGTAAGGAATTTAATACAATTTTGTGATCAAGGTGCATTTTTCAGGAGAGTTTGTTTTTGGTTCATATTAATAGCTTCATTTTTATTGGAGATATTTTTTTTTAAGAAGAGAGTAGAATTTTACAATAGGGGGGTTGGACCTTTGGTATTAGTAGTGTTTTATTTAGATAGAAGAATGTAGAATGTACAATGAGCGGAAGGGGGTTAATCACTTTAAATATCCATTGTGTCCCTTTTTCTTGAGTTATAACTCATCATACTATCTATAATTCATCATACATGGGGTTCTTCCTGTTGGAAGGGGGACAGAGTATTTCCCATCCTCCTCTGAGAACAGATGTATGAACATCTATTGTCCACTCCTCGGAGGATAACCACGAGGTTAATTTTTAATGTGAAAATAGTCTAAAAATTCAAATAACTTAGCTAAAAATTCCTTAGAACAAAATTTATCGAAATTCAAAATATATGAAAATTTTAAGGTTTCTATTTTTCATGCCGGTAGGTGTATTTCTGTTTTGAATTTTCAATAGTATTTTTTTAGTCTTTTTTTTTTAATTTTCCTTTTATTATAAATTACATTTACAAATCATTAACATTTTTTAAAGATCTTTTAAAAATTAGTACTAACAATAAAAATATATATTTTTAATTTCACACATAGTAATAAATGTATAACAAGGCACTTATTATTCACATTTTTTAAAAACAAAATAATAAGTCATACTCGTATTTGAATATTTGGTGATTTTAATATTAAGGTATTTATCTAGATATGCCCATGATATTCTTAAGAAGTTTCGAAAATATCTTATTTACTTTTTCTTCTGCTCTTCTGAAATTCGTGCTTTTTGTATTGTTTTCTGATCTTCCACTTCAAACCATCAACGAAAAATTTGTATCTACTTTCCAGCTTTACGGTTGTCTTTTCTGTCATCTGTCATCCATTTTATGCGATCTAACGTTTCCAACGTTATCAACATTTAACCAGATCATTTGGTGTCAATAAATTTAAGCTTAAAGTAAAATCTGAAATTCCTTGTACCCCTTGCAGCATGTAGGAAAGATGACTTCCATTGCAATAACGGCTTTTGTATACCACCCAATCAGAGATGCGACGGCATCAGGCAATGTCAGGACCAATCGGATGAGATCGGATGCAAAAGTATGAGAGTAAAGTCTGGTGTTAACGAATGGAAGTATCAAACACCAGTATTTTTTTATTATTTCATGTGTTTTTGCTGAAGATTGCGCATATGTAACTCTTTTATTTAATTGTGCTAGCATTTTTATTAAGGTTAAATATCATTAATTAAAAGTGTTTGATATTTCCATTTAAAAACTTACAATTTTAGTATCATACATCGGTAAATTATGACAAATAACATATCAGTGGCGACATCTTTTAACAGGGCCTTGAAAACCTAAAATTATTGATTACAGAAGCTCATGCCAGCCATTTATCCATTCGATAATATTAAAAAACCCTTTTAAAGCAGATTTCTTTATATCCTGTTATTTTATCGATCCAAAAATTCAGTTTTTAATATTATTACTACGTAAAATAGTTCACTTTCATGTCATACAGCGAAATAATTCTGTTTTTAAGAACGGTATTGCGTGTGATAGCGAACTTGATATAAAGATATTAGTTATTTATTCCAAGTATATGTGCATGTAAGTGGCCAAGGCACAGTTCTTTATCCTTAATAATTACATTGATTTTATCAACGTTAATTAGTAGAAATTTGTAAAGAAATCTGTTTTACTGTATTTTTCGAATGCATTTTTATAAATTTTCATGGAAATGGGAAATGGTTTATAGTTTTTAGTATTTTTGGATAATGAAATTGTTGTTTTGGATAAAATAGGTGGTAAAGGGTAGTCAACAGGGCTTAATATATATTTATTAAATGGCGTTATATATAAAAATATAGGTTATGGGTAGTTTTTACTCCAAGGTTTCAGTTCTTTAAGATATTAGATTATTTAATACTAAATAAGGTAATAGGGTATTATTATAATAAAATATGTATTATATAATTTATATAGATATACAGAGTGTTTCAAAAAACATGTGCCATCTCTCGTGGGGAGATTCTTCACGTAAAAATAAGATTAATTTTTCATATCAACATAGGTCCGATTCTGCTTTGTGTTGTAGCTATAGGGTGTTAGTCTTAATAATCTTTTGATTTATTATAATTTTAAATATTCCAGTGATAACCCATATGCACGTCCCTGGTGAATATATTGACACTTTTTTAGTTTTAAAATATGTCGCATTTATAGTTACTTTGATCGTCAAAATTTCATTCGAAACGCTAAAAGTACTTGAAAGAAAATTATAATTAATCGAAAAAGCATTAAGACTTTTAACACCCTATAACTACTAAACAAAGTAGATTCGGACCTATGTTGATATGAAAAATAAATCTTATTTTTACATGAGGAATCTCCCCATGAGAGATGGCACATATATTTAACTTTTTTTAAAAATTCATATTAATTGCATTTTCCAAGAATGCATAAGAGAGAGAGTAATTTAAGAGATACATTTTTATTTGAATTATATTAAAACCATTTAGGTTTTTAACGACCTCGTTCTGAACATAGGAAAAATAAAGAAAATAAGTTATATACGATACACAGTCATATAAATCAACAACAAATTTTGTGTTAGCGTGTCAAAATACACACACAATTATTATCTTTGATAATCGTCACATCATATTTACCGAAAATTCAGCAATTTCTCTAAATAATACAGCTATCGCGCACTGCCTCGATTACCAATGGAAATGCAATAACGGCCAGTGCATCGACAGAATAGACAGGTGCAATTCGAGGCCCAATTGCGAGGACGAATCCGACGAACGAAACTGCTACTGCTCCAAGGACGAATTCAGATGCAACAATGGCAGTTGCATCGCCTTGAATAAAAGGTGCAACGGCGAAGCTGACTGCGAGAATCAGGAAGATGAAGAGAACTGCGGTTAGTTAACAGCTTCAGTTGGGGTCTAAGCTTCAAATTGTCGATTCTATATCTGTAGTCTCGTCCTGTTCTCTGTAGTAGTTATGTGTTTCTGTCCTTTTTCGTTCAGACAAGTGCCTCATTTTTAATTATCTTCTATCTTCTTCTCATTTTAAAACCAGTTTTGGTGTATTTTGATTACTCTCTGTAATGTATTCTCCGATTGAATTAAAAAAAATACTTTAGAACTTTAGTTTTACAACAGAATATTACATCAATCAATCACAATAAACCAAAACATATTTAAAGTATTGGCAAACGTTTTGTCAGCCATAAATATTAACGTTATCAGATGATTAAAAATATGTTTATCCTCTTCTGAAGAAACACCAGTTTTGGTGTATTTTGATTAACTTCAGTAATGTATTCTCCTGTACAGGGTGAGTCAGGACAACATCTATGAGTTTTTTTTGTGAAATTAAATATTTAAAATTCTTATTTTTTGGATAATTTTTTTAATTTTTATTTAAAAATATAATATCTTGACAATGTGTTAATACACGAAAAATCTGAAAAATCCAGTGGCTCTCAAAATTTAAGAAAAAAAATCATATCATCATTAGCTCTGAAAATATTTGCACTTATTAGACTCTTCTTATTCTAATCTTAAGAAGATTTGATGTGATTAAAACGAAACTAGTTAAAGAATAAAGTACTTGTCTGAGATTCGCAATTCTTCAACGGGCTACAAACTTATAATATTTAGGAAGTAGTTTTTGTTATTCCTAAAAGTAGAATTTCATATAATATCTATTTAAATTAATCGCTTAACAATGGATATACATATTGCCAAATCTTATGTTCCAATTTTTAAGTTTGTTTTTACCAGATTATTTTACCAGATTTTTGCCAGTTTTTTCAGAATCATAGAGTTTTGGCACTAAGTATATATCTATAGAATTGCATATGGAAATTATTGTGCACTCAGCTCAACCAGAAAAAAGTTTCTTAATTCAATTTCTAAATTTTATGCCGAATTTCACAATAATTTCATGTAATACTAACATAAAACGTTGTTTTATTTTAGAAAATTAAGACTTCAATATTAGTTTTGTTTAAACGCTTGTCAGTGTTAGTATTTTTAGTACGTCATGTATAACTTTGCATTTACTCAGCTGTGTGTTTTAGTTATTAAAAAAGTGAAACTAAAAGAACAAACATTAAACAAAAATAAAACAAATTCTAAAAAATGTCCTACGATTATAAATAAATATAACAGTACATTTTTTGATTTTAGTCTTCATATTGGTGACAAATCTCCCAGTTGAAATCAAATCACAAAAATAAGATTTCACAGACACAAGTTGAATTGAAAAACTGACAACTATATATCATTATGTTTGTTCAGTTGCCTTTACTTGTTATGTCTATTATTATTTATATTTAAAATCTAATTTAACACAATAATTATGAATGTCTAAAATACGAAAATATAATTAAAGAGAATCACATAGGTTTTGTAAAATACAAAAAATAAGATACAAGAAGTAGGTTGAGTAACAATAAGCAAAGTTAACCGAAATATTTATCTTGTAAAGTGTGCAATAAGCCAGATAAACTTTTCTCGATTTTTAAAGAACTTAATGGTATTCCTCCGTGTTTGATTGTTGGATTTTTAAACATGTTTTAACGAGAGAGTTTAAACATGTTTTAACTAGTTTTATATTTAAAACAATATAAATAATAATATTCAAAACAAGTAATTTTTAAAACACGTTTTTAAAAAAATTAAAGTAACCCTGGTTGAAACGCTCAAAATTTAATGTTCGGTGAAATTTGGCATTAATTTGAATTTTTAATAAACATTTCATCAAAAATTATTTGAGCGTCATTCTATTTTGAGAGACTTTTTTCTTGAACGGCTGAGTGAAAATATGTTAGAACTTGAGACAAATAAAAACTAGTTTTTATTCGGATAGCATGCGGGACTAATGACTTTAAATGCAAAAATGGACTGTGTATACCGGAATTGGGCAGATGCAACGGTAGTCAGGAATGTTCTGACGGAAGTGACGAACTTGGATGTACTGGTAAGGTTTCTTCTCAACTTTATCCTCCAGAACCAATCAACTGGATATTCGTCAAAACGCTTTTTCTCGTCTGTCAATAATAAATCCCTTGCCTATACGTCTGACTCTACACTTTGTGTCACTCTTCTGTCCCATCTTACCATCGAAGTATGTTCTGCTGTTAAATTTCAAACTGTTGTGTTTTAAAATGTAACAGGTAACGTTAGTGTGAACGGCTAGCCCAATGGTCGTTCCTTTTTCTAATTATGATGATCTCTGTTAATCTATTTATTTGTACTGACCTGATGCTTTGTAATAAAAATTCCATTCTTCTTTATGGGATTTTTTAAATATCTATGTCGCTTTCTGTTCTTTAAGTGTCTTTACTATGATTACAATCTGATTTTCGATGTGCTTTATTTATTGTTGTCGTAATATTGGAAAAATCTATTTAATAAATGTGTTGAGGTATAAATATATATTAATAATTTTGGGAAAATTATAGAATATATTTATATTTACGTCATTTAATTTATTAAATATAGTACAGTGAATGCCGGAAGTCAATGAATGTTAACAATTTCTACTAAAAGCTCACATTTACTGATTTGCTAACATTACGCCAGTAGAAGTCCAATCGCTAACTTTTACTAGCGAATGTTAGCATTCGCAGGAATGTGATATTCACTCGCCTAATGCGTAGTTGTTAGCTTTTCCTACTGATTGTTCACATTAATTGGATTTCCGTCTTTCACTGTATCAGATACACTATCTATATTCCTTGTGATTTAATAAACTAAACGTCATAGTAGGCGCAGAAATAGCATTTTTGATAGAGCTTTGATAAGTTTATGACTTAATCTAGACAGTGAAAGCGACAGCTGATTGTGAACAGTTGATGTTTTGATTGATGTTTCTAGATGACCGATACTCGTACTGAAACTCAAAAATTGTTGATTCTACGTCGATTGTGACTTTTTTTGTTTAATAACATTATATATTATTTATATTTATTCACACTATAATTAGTACAATTATTGCATATGTATCCCGCAATAGTTAAAAATAAGTTTTATACGAATAGTAACTATCTATATACATTTTTTTTTAAATTTCTATTTTCCACTACTAAGGTAAGTAAAGTAGAGAGAGAGAACTTAAGCTTAGCAAAAGAAATAGCAAACAATTTATTTTAATCAAATCAAAAGAGAATTTATCTATTATGCTTTATATTTTGGCATGTTTGTAATATCTATACTAACTGCATGTTTTTTTCTTGGCATGGTATTTATTAGCTATTACTCCACATTGTGGGCTGGGTTATTGGAGATGTGATGATGGTAACTGCATTAAAACGAGCAAAGTTTGTAACGGAATAGCAGACTGTATCGATAAAAGTGACGAGTCACTATTATACTGTTGGACTTTCGAAAAAAATCCAGGTAAATGGATCATTGCTTTAAAAATAACAGTATTTTGCTTTCAAATGCTTTTTTAAGTATTTGTTTCAAAAAGAAGCAACATATTTTTACCTATTTTATTCATTTATCATAAATATCATAATTCAGCAACATATGATTTACATTTTTTAGTACTTTTTTAAATAATGGTTGATTCACGTTCATAATATGTATACATCTGCTATTTTGTTGTTTTATAATAACGTTGCCTGAATTTGCCTGCACTTGTACAGCATTACTTATTTATAGAAAATTTGAAATTGTGTAAATTACATAAAAAGGGTTATTACACTATTATATTAATAATTTTTGGAAAAAAAATTACCAGAAAATGTTATGTATAATCCGACTGCTTTTCTGCTGTATATATTACTGTAAAATGTGTATTATATCAGGTTGAATGCGGATTTTTGCACCGTTTGATGTCGGGACTCGCACAGATACTTCACAGAATATTTTGACTAACTGCACGGAGAGAGTTTTTGAAATTTGCGATACACGTTTTTGATTTGGTTTTTGAAAAATCTAGGGCCTCAAGATTGTCCCCAGGGATATTTTCAATGTACGGAGGGTTTTTGTATTATGGGCTACAAAAAGTGTAACGGGATACCGGATTGCGATGACTATAGCGATGAGGAAAATTGTCCTCAGTACGTTCCTGGTATGTTTTTTTATATTTAATTTTATTCGATTCACTAATAACTATGAGTTTTATCTATATCGGGCTCAGGTTTTATGATCAACTAAACGACGTGTAATTTTTATAGAAATGGAATAACTTTAAAAAATCCAAAGTTGTCTGTTTTATATATTATTTGTTGTAAGCTTGGTTACTCAGAAGATACTCTAAGTTTAAGAATCTTTGATATCTTAATTACTAATTATGAAATCATATTCAAAGAAATGAGAGTCATATTCAATGTCGTTACTATATATTTGCCACAGAGTTATTTACGTATTTTTATTTATTTCTATTTCGATTTAGTTAATAATAATACCTTTTGTTAAACTTTTTTGTTAGAATACATAGTGTAATATTCCTGTAATAGGTATATATTGGCATGTACTATTTTATGCATTAAAATTGATACAGAACTCTTCGTATTTGCTTTACAAAATAAAGTAACACCAAAGGTTCCAACCCTCAACTGTAATAGTATTTGCTCTAATTATAATAAATATCTCTAATTTTCTATAACTAAGTTTATTTAATTTTTGTTTAAACTCTAGCTATATTTTATTATTGACTACCTTTCAATATTTCTGGACACTCTGATTTCTCATTTATACAGGGTGGTCCGAACTGTATTCCGGAAACTTCGGCAGCATATTCTGCAGATAAAAATAAGTAAAAAGTTCGTATAAATGTATGTCTTAAAATGTTTACTTTCAGAGATACAGGGTGTAGAAGTTTCATTTTTATTTCGATTTTTTCTAAATAATTCTTTGTAAAAATCGCTACGAGCAACCGTTCTTAAGATATTTAAAATGGAAATAGACAATACATGTCATTATTGACGAAAAATAGCACGTTGAGTAGATAGTTATTTCACTGAAATAATAAATTTGGGAAATTTTAATTTTTTTAAATTAATCATACATTTTGCTGCAAAAAATGATGATAAAACAGTTTCGGTTGAACTTTTGGCACAAAAATATTTCAAATTTATGATTTCAGTCTAATTTAGTCAACATGTTTAATTTATGTCAATGATGTCAGGTATTGGTAATTTCGATTCCAAATATCTCGAAAACCATTACTCGTAGCGATTTTTACCAAGAGACTTTTTTACGTAAAAAATGTCGTAAATGTAATTTTTTTACTCAGTAGGTTTATACAGGTACGGACAAAAAGTTATTACTCTTCAAACCAGTTAAACAATATGTAGGTGGCGCCCTCTATCTCCGAAACTAAGTATTTTAGGACATACATTTATACCAACTTTTTTACTTAATTTTATCTGCAGAATATGCTGCCGCAGTTTCCGGAATACAGTACGGACCACCCTGTATACTCACTAAAATTTTCTCAGTATTTGTATCTTTGCAGTATTTCTTTCTAAACCAAGTTTTTCTGTGTATTATTAGCTATACCCTATCTATTGTTTAGTACAGATACCAAACTGTATATCAGACGACTTATTTCATTTTTTTACTTCTCCTTTGACAGACCAGACAAATAAAATTTGAATTATATACACGACAAATAAAAAAAAGATAATTTATATGATATTTATAAATACTTTTAACCAAGTCGAACTATGAGAAAATTTATTGGATGTTTCCATGACCATTTTCGTGACAGGAATCTATAAATGTTCTTCGGAAGAAATAAAAAAAAACGTTGCAATTGATTTGATGTTACCAACGATTTAAAGATATTTTAATATGTCATTTGATACAGGGCGTATAGTTTATATATTAGAAGAAGTAATTGTTTTAAATAAATAATAAAAGTTACACAACGAATAAATAATTTTTAACTTTTTTAATATTGGACACCAAAATAATATTGATTGTTTTAATATTTCTGATACTTCCAAAAATATACACTTAGCTATTGGTGTGGGTATTCAGGCAATCGTTGTTAGAATATATAGAGCGTAACAGTTTAGATGAACCGAAATATTAAAATTGTAATTACTAAAACATTTAGTGGTATTTAAAATTTTTAGTGTAGAATTAAAGGTATTTTATGAATCTTGTAGAAGTATATGAATTATTTTAGTAACTGTTACACACTATATAAATTTAGCTAAAGCCACATTCCATTAAAAGTAGCGCTTAAATTATTTTTTTTTAATTATTTAGAATTTAGTATTTGTAATCATTCATTTAATGTTCATTTTTAAACAGGATGAATGGTTACATTCGCCTAATATTTCTTCAATTACTATTTTATATAAGAGAACATTACAATTATTTTTTGCAAACAATTTTATTATATATTCTTAATATATTTGACACAACTTATTTCATTCAAACCATTATTTTTAGTACCTAAATATAGACTTATTAATAGTAATCAAATGAAGTATGGAAAATTGTAATGACCTCTACTGCGCATTCTAATGTTATCTGCTCTTTTGCTATGCACCGCTTCATCTATGCACACAGATACTACACACTACGATTGTGGTCCCAACGGTTTCGACTGCAAAAATGACATTTGCATCCACCACACATACCGCTGTGACGGCTACAAGGATTGTCCTGACGGCTCGGATGAACTAGGTTGCAACAGAACATCTGTGGGTGGGTATTTCTTCTTCCAAATTTCTTAGGAACATTTTCGTTACAACCACGATACACTAACTACCAGTATATTTTCTAGCGCAGGTTATGACGCATTGTGCGGTAAGTTATTGCGCATATACACATATTCATGCGCGTGCCTGCTTACTGAGCGTTATGTATAGAGGATGGTTCAAAATGTGCCATCTCTTGTGGGGAGGTTCCTCACGTAAAAATAAGATTTATTTTTGTATCAACATAGGTCCGATTCTGTTTTGTTTCGTAGGTAAAGAGGGTTAAAGTCTTCTTTTTTTATTTAAGATGTGTATATTCGAATATCTAAGTAGGTACGCAGAGTTTCATATTAATGATTATAAGTCTACAGGTTGTTTGGTGAAGGTTGTGACTGGTAGCAAGTGTATCGTAGATACTCCTGAACTTCTTCCTTAATTGGTTAGTAAAATTTAATTTTGGACTTTCAGTACCTTTATTTCATAGACTGGTAGTATAATATATCGGGTACTTTAATATCTGCTGTCTTACAAGTACATGAGTATCATGTGCACGAAAGTTATGCAGATGTTAAATAAGACGTATACGTTGTACTTGCACCTACTTATTAAATCAAAGTGACGTATGTAAGTCCAAATTTAATCTATGTTATCAAAAATCTTTAAATACACGTTTTGAATTAACATTTATTACACATTATGATCTTCGCATATTGCAAATATTGAAAACTAATTTTTATTTAACAAAAGTTAAAGTTTTAAAGTTTAGATGAGCTTTGATATTCATGAACAAACTTGGATTATTTCTGTAAGTTCCATTTTATATTACAAATAACACCACAAAGCTTTGCTTTATTTTTGCTTTTCTATTACTTATTGTGCAACAGTACCGTAGAATAAATATTAATCGATTATTTTATCTTTACATCCGTAGGTAAGTATAACATAGTAATTTAACTTATTAATAATAAGTATGAACTATAAAACTATAAACATATATTATAATATAGAGAATATCTCGGAGAATACTTTGGAAGTAGTTTTTTAGTGAATAGTATCTATTTATCTGTACGTATTATCTACATATTTTTATAACCGCTTCTTAATATCTTTTTGAAATAATATTTTTGGGAGCTTTGTTTAATCTATAAGCCAAATAGAATGTATTTTAATTTTATACAAACTCATTGGTGATGGTTGCCATTTTACTATGAAATATTTTTAGGCAGATTTTTATTGATTTTAGATATGTATGGTTATGAGTAATATATTTTCTTTATTTTATTTTATAGTATACTTAGGGTAATTAAAAATATTCTTAATAGATACAGAGCAATCGGGACAATGCGCACCTGACGAAGTTCGGTGTAGGGATCGTTCCTGCATCAAAGGCAAAAGATGCGATCGCGTTTACGATTGCGTGGACGGTACTGATGAAGTCGATTGCGAATATTGTACTTCGGGCGAATTTCAGTGCCGATCAGGAGGCTGTATCGATGAGAGACTTCGTTGCGACGGTCTTAAGGACTGTCAGGATGGTTCCGATGAAGAGGGTTGCCATGGTGGTACGTTGTATTTCTTCAGCTAAACATATCCTGCTCTTCCTTGGACTAAAATATTATCTAACCAGAAATAGCCAGGCTTGGGCGAGAACTATTAATATTAACTCCTTGGGTAAATTGCAAGATGGCTCAAGAAGAAATGACTTGATCTAACCTTTTTCTAATAGCATTGAGCCTATGAACATACTTTTTCAAGTACTAAAATTTTATTTGACCAATAATCTCAAGGCCCGTTCTAGAAACATGAACCTTATTAATATGCTTTCCTCTGGACTAAACATATAACTAACAAATTGTCTCCAAACCTGTTCAAACAGCTTTGATACCGTGAGCATGATTCTTTATGGACTAAATTCTTATCTAACCAATAATCTTTAGACCTATCGAAGAAGCATTGATTTAATAGTAAATCTTTATTTTTAATTCGTTCTAGATCTCGTGTTCTAGACAACTGCTAACTGCTTGTATTTTTGATTTTAACATCTTATAGTTAATTAATAGTTAATTAAGTTGCTTGATATTAAACAAATAATTTTCAATATTTGGAATTATTATTACATTATTATGAACAAAGATAGTTTATTTGAATTTGCTTTTTTTATATTTTTCTTTCAGATTTATTTGTAACTTTTGGTACAACATTGTCAATTTATCATATGTTCATATTTTCCCACAATACATTCAAAACATACATCAGTCCTCACATTGTCTTTCTATCAGGATATTTTTTTAATCATTAACATTTTGAGAAAATTTCTTCTACTAAAATGGATAATATATCCTTTTACCCTTTTTAAAATTTGGATTTGCTCTGGATTCATATTTTGTGTACCATACGTCTTTGGTAAATCATACATATTCAAACTAAATTATATTTTTTTATTTATAATAATTAATACTAAAAAAATGCAGTTTTCTGGCTGTAAGTGTTTAATTTTCTTAAGTTGAAATTATTTCTAAAATCTCTTAAACAGTTTATCCAGAGAGGTGTCTAGACAACGAGATTGATTGTGGAGATGGCCAGTGTGTTAGTGCTCATTCTAGGTGCAACGGAGTTAGAGACTGTGCTAACGGTCGAGACGAGGAAGGCTGCCCTGTTACCACAACCTCACGTATGACCCTTATTATTAATACACTGAGGTGCATAAAGACGCAACATGATTTTTTTTCGTCAAATTTAAAGTATTATATATTTTGTTTTATTTTTAGTGCTATTTTAATTAATTTTTTAATAATCTGTATGTAAATATATCAACTTTATTTTGCAAAATAAGTTTTTTATAAACTTTAGTATTTGGCTTATTATAATTGAAGTTTTTTTTACTTTAACTTTGAAACACCCTGTGCAATAAATTCGTGAGCAAAGTTTTTTAGAATATTACTTTACGGACAAAACCATGACTCCTGAGTATTTTGTTTTTTGATTCATGTCAAAACATGCCTTGATTAATTTTTAAGAGCGAAATGAACTTGCTACCAACATTTTACAATCTTTTCAATTATCATTGATTTTTGATGTTACTTTTTAATATAACGTGGTGACTTTCATATTGACAGTTTAGCTGTAAATGTTCTAGGAAAATTTGCTCACGAAATTATTGCACAGGATGTTTTAAAGATAGGGTAAAAACAACCCTTCGATTAAACTTTACAATAAGCCAATACTAGAAGTCAATAGAAAATTGAGTTTGTCAAGTAAAAGAAGATATATTTACAATACAGTTTTCTAAAAAAAATCATGAAAATAGGGCTAAAAATAAAAAAATAAAATACTTTAAATTTTACGAAAAAAATTCCATTGTATTTTTTTCACATCTGAGTGTATATCATACCTTTCCCCATCGTTAGTCTTTTTTGATATTGAATATCGATTTCGATTTAGGACCCTGCTCTCCTTACGAACTGGACTGTGGAAACGGTCAGTGTATCGACATTAGAAGACGATGCGATGGATATCGAGATTGTCCGAATAATAGAGATGAGGAAGCTTGCCCTACTACCACAACCCCACGTATGACCCTTGTTTTATTTTCATACTATATCTTCCCACTGTTAGTCCTTCTTGATACTGAATATCGATTTCGATTTAGGACCCTGCTCTACATACGAACTGGACTGTGGAAACGGGCATTGTATCGATATTAGAAGGCGATGCGACGGATATCCCGATTGTCCGAACAATAGAGATGAGGAAGGTTGTCTGCAAAGAAGTATGATAATTCAACGATTTATGCTTGCCCGAGTCTATTCTTCAACCTTTAACTCTCCAGTCTATTGATATATTATTAAATCCTCCTTCTTAACTTCTGGTTTGAGACACTAATGATGAAGAAGCTTGTCCACAAAGGAGTATAACGAGATATGCTTGCCCAAATCTATATCCTCAATCTTAACTCTAGTATTGATAACCTATTTTCTTTCTTGATAATAATCTGTTTGAGGAACTAATTTTAGACATTCCTTTGGTCGAATAATTTACTTCTATTGCCTGTCTTTTACTAATTAATTTAATTAAATAATTTTAAAATATAATTATTATCTCGTATTCTACCGTATACTGTAGTGAAAACAACCTCATAGTAAGATTTGATATAACGTTGTTTTATTTTGAACAGTTTTACTCCAGAAGTTCTTAACTTGTTCTTTAAAGTTTTTATTAGATATAAATTTGAATGTTTCAGTTTATATTTTTCTTTCTTCTTTCTTCTTTCTTCTTTCCTCTTTCTTCTTTCTTCTTATAGTGTATTTGTTGTCAAAAGGTAGCTCTGTATATGGTGTTATTTTAATGACATATTTACTGTACCTTGTTTAGACTTACATGTTATTTATAAGCCTACTCTGAGGTTGCTTCTATATGGTCTAGACGGTATTAATAAATATTAATATTAAAAAAAAAGTTTTAAATGTGCACGAATAGATAAAATTAACATTATATATGCATCCCGATTATGTAAATACTGAATCTTATATAATAATATAGAGATTATATTTATTACAGTTTTTAAAATCTAATTCAGGCGATTGGTGATAGTTTGAAGTAAATGTAGTAAGATTTTATCGTAATTAACATTCATTTGGAGGTCATCGTAGGTTTTGTGTAAGGTTGTCGTTGATGTCTTATTTTGTTAGTAGAATTTACAGCTTCAGTAGGTAATGTATCAAAATATTTATATTTCTGTCTGGCAAATTTATTTATCCAAAAGGTTGAATATTGTTCGGGAGTATCAATTTCAATGACTACTACAATATTGTTTTGCAATAATGTATGCTTTTAAAATATTTTATATAATGAACTAAAGAACGTGATATTTATTTCAGTAAATTAATGGTGGTTGGTTATGTATTTTTTTCTTTTTTAACTACAGAATCCTGCAGTAATGACGAATTTGACTGTGGAGATGGCGTTTGCGTTGATATTAATAGAAGGTGTGATGGACAAAGAGACTGCTCTACAAATAAAGATGAAGAAGGATGTCCAGAGTTTCCACCATTAAGTATGACCGCAGAAAATTTGTTTTCTAAGTTTGTTTTGTCTTCTTTGGAGTGGCTTATCTTATGCTACAGCTAATATTTTCTATATCTTCTCGTAAAATTTGACATTTTTCAGGGTTTTCTTTTTGAGTTTCGAGCCAATTAAGACAAAACTGTTCTTACAGTACATATTTTTAATACCGAAAAATAGAGATTTTTGAAAGTAATCATATAAAAATGGATTCCTTTTTGAAAGTTACTTTTAAAGAAAATATTTAGTTAGATAATATCCTAATTTTTAAATTAATATTAATAGTTCTTGAATTTGATATAGGTATCACATTTGTATGTAGGATTTTTTTTGGCTTCACGAAACTTGAATATTGTTAAACCTATGTTGACAGCTTCTCTTGTTGGATCTTCAGCTGCTTCAGCTTCTCGGTTCTTCGTTTGTTCGTAGTTTTTCTATCTTTCTTTAAAACAAACATGGATCTGTGCTTTATGCCTCTCTCTAAGTTTAAAAAATGAGCTAATGTTGGCGTTCAAAGCTAGAATATGAAATATTTTCCAATACTAATTGTTTTTTATTGTATTTGATTATCAAGGTTTGTGGTATATTAACAAATTTATTATAGCATAATACTGAAGCTTATAACATTCTGTTGGTTTTTGGTTTGGTTTGGTTTGTGGTTACTAAAAACAGTTTATTACTAGAGAACAGCTAGAAATTTTTCCACTGAAAGAGAAAATTAAAAAAATAAAAATAATTATTATCTTTTGTAAAATTCTATTGGGTTTAGAGGCTTATGGACACCAGTTTTCTAATCGCTATTTAGTCTTAAACAAATTTAACTAATCCACAGAAAACATGTAAAGTTTTAGGGGGTATATCTTCTTCTATTTGACAGAGGCAAAAAATGAGAAAGGAAAAGGTTGTTTAAAATGTCTAAATCTCAAGATATTCTTCATACTGAGACGTCTAGTGAAACATTGATATTCCCACTCTGTTAGTCTATCAGTGAAAATTGTATACGACTAAAAACCACTGAAAAGCTGATTTCCATTGCACTCTGAATCGAGCAACATCGTACAACAAAAAATATTTTTATTTTTCAATTTTCGTTTCAATTGGTAAAAAACCAAGCTGTTCTCAAGTAATACACAGTGATTATCTTATAACCCAACTATTTGGGTTCTATTTAGTTGTTGTTAAAACATTAATTGTTGTTAAACGTAAGCATGTTTATGTAGAGTCGTGTCCACCTGACAAATTTAATTGCGGAGACGGCTTGTGTATTGACGAAAGCTTTAAATGTGACGGTGTACCGGATTGTCAGAATAGTACTGACGAAGCAGACTGTGGTAAGTGTATGGTGGCGGTGAAAGCTTAGTAGATTTTATTCTGGCTTGTTTTATTACTCTTTTGTTAAATATAACTCTTCTCTAGTGTTCCTGTTTGTCAATTTGGTTTGTAGATTTTATTTTTTATAAAACAAAATAGTATTTTCAGCAACATCCATTAGCAGAACTATAATGGAAACTAACTCTATCTTCAGACTAAAATTGTAACTTCTATTAAAATAAGTTACAATTACAACAAGCTCGTTCACCATATGTTTTGATCAAATCAATAAGACAATTTATGAATTGTCTTAGCGCTACAGCTCTCAACTAACAAATGCTTTAGAGTGTTTACGATTAAATTCACTAACATCTGTCTCTGGATTGAGAAGTACTTGTCCAAACATGCAATAATAAGAAACTTTTTTAGCATGCCAATCAGATGAATTCCGATGCAGAGATGGTCAGTGCATTCCCCAATCGAGGAGATGTGACAGATACAGTGACTGTGTTGACGGATCTGATGAATCGGGATGTACCGGAATAATATGTCCAAACAACCAATTCAAGTGCGAAAGAGAAGACCGTTGTATCCCGGATAGTCGCTTGTGTGATCGAAATCCCGATTGTTCTGACGGTTCAGATGAAAGGAACTGCCGTAAGTACCTCCGTTTTTATTACTTTTTTAACGTATCTTATAAATAATTAAATCTGCCAGTGTATAAGAATTTACTCCAAATGATTAAGAAATTTTTTGAACCTTTAACGAATTTCTTTATGAAATATAGAAGCTATCAAAAATTATTGACATTTTTGCTATACTGTATACCGTGCTGGCAACTCTTACTTTTGGGTTGGTATTTACATGTGTCGAAGTAAATCGCATAGGGATCTGATTATATCGGAGTGAGAGACGGTGTGCTGTTGCGGCGTTGCCACATTTCTCCGATACGCCTTTCCCTATCAGACTTTTTTTCGAAAAGATAACTAGATAAAATCATTTGATATGATTCTGAGCATCTGAAATGGAATTATAAGGATATCGTTAAGGGGTCCATTTTTATAACAAGAACACGTCAGTAATCGCGATAATTTAAAATCTAAACTTTTTAACACATAACACGCGATAACTCAAGAACTACTTTAAATATATTTTTTTTAATTTTGAAGTTCGGATATTGTGCAAGATATTAAAAAATTAAAAAACCCATCCATTTACTTTTAGTGCATTGCAATTTTCAGCAATCGTGTAACTTTTTTATTTATAAAGATTTTCACATACTGTCTGCGAAGAAAATATAGCAGAGATATTAAGAAAGTTTTTGAAAAAAAACTATCATTTATTATTTCTAATTGACTTCGAGAATATCGATTTTTGAATTCAGAGTTCTAATAGCGTGCCCACTGTCGAACACCAACTCAATCCCACTTATTTTTAAAAATTTACAAACTATAGGGAAAATTACAACTATTCGTTAATAAATAAACAAATCAACGAAAAAGTATCACCAGACGTAATTAAATCGTGAAGCTGAACACATGATGTATGCCCTTCCCTAGAATATTATCTGCTATCCCCTCCCACGTCTCTAGCAATGTGCACAGTTTCTCGGTTTATTTCATACGTTTGCCAACGTTTTTACTTTTCTCTCTTTGTTCAGTAGGTTATAAACGGATTGTACTCTTCTTACAGCGGAAATCCCGACCCAAAACTAACCTTTGCTGGTCCTTAGTATAAATATCACGTAGCTAACTCCTGTTTTGTCATCTTGAATAGTAGTAATGTACTAAATATATAGTATATATTGATAAATTCTTAACCTACAAACTGTTGTTTTCTGACCACCTCGGCCAGAGACTTGCCACGAACCTGAATGGTTTCAATGCGATGATGGTTTGGGCTGCGTCGAGGCCAGCCTTAAGTGCGACAACGTCTACGACTGCAAAGATTTCTCTGACGAACAAAACTGCTTCGGTTAGCCTCGAATTTCTGCATCTGTGTTTATATATATTTTCTTGTCTTTCGATTATTTACAGTCCCCTATTGTGTAGATCTATATCGAAAATATATTCTTCACCCTGGAAATCAACATTATCGCTTGAGTTTTTGAAATGAGACTTTTTACAATATCTGAAACCTCGTTACTGTAATAATACTGTCAGAAATAAAAGTAAATTGAAAGTTTTATGATTCCTGAAATGTAATAGCTTACAGCATTCTATTAATTTGTATGTCCTTAGACCTAATTTTATGAATCAAGAAATAATGATTTAAAAACAAAGTTAGAGAAGAGGAGTTACAAAATTTATTTAATAAAGTTTTTACAAATATGTCTTCACTTTGTAATCTAATAACTCAGGAAGAAGAATATATTATACTGTAATCAAGTGGTGGTCTATATTTAGTGATATTATAAATTTATAGGTTGTAGATCAGTACGTTGCGTAGTTAGACGTATTTATATATTACAGTCGTGAATAGTATATTACTAGAAGTTGGTATATGATAAGTATATGTACTATAGAAATTATAGAACATAGATAAATGTGTAAGAATTTGATTATATATTACTTTTTTATTTAGATACATCCATATTATATATTCTATTTGTCCTAGGTAATACTAAAATATTATGGTAGATGACTTTTGGATCTTTAATTAGTTAGTTTTTTTAATCTAATGCACGTTTTGTTGGCCTATTTTATTATTATTTTTTTATAATATTTTTTTTATAATCTGGATATCATAATATAACAGATTATGGAAGACTATTAAACTAATTAAAATTATTTATCATAGTAAACATTAATGAATATTAATAATTTTTTTCTATATTGTAATTTTTAGCAAATGCACTATTATTTTTTGCAATGATTATATATTAGTTTATATTTAAACTTTATATTTAATTTAAGCATGTTTTTTGTTTTTATGTTTAGTTCTTTTTTTATAATTTATTTAGCTTGTTCATCCGATGAGTTCGGCTGTTCAGACGGTCAATGTATAGACAACAGATTGAAATGCGATGGACGTCCTGATTGTAGAGATAGATCTGACGAATACAATTGCGTAAGACCAACACCTAAACCTGTTACTTTGCCTCCAGATGTCAGTCAGCGCAGTTGTCCACCTTTCTATATTAACTGCGTGTCTGGTGATGATTGTATACTGCGCAGCCAACTCTGTGACGGACACGTCGATTGCAGAGATCTGTCTGATGAAAACAATTGCGGTAAGTTAACGAAGAATTTTCCTAATTTAAAAATCATCAAAATAGTCAATAACGAATATGAACATTATTTCAATACTTACTTGTGTCCACATTTTAAATCATTTGACCAAAATTGAGAAGTAAAAAAATAAATATGTAATTTTTATTGTATATTTTTCAAATTTCGAACATTCAAATGATTTAGAATATGGTATATGTCTTTATTTGTTTATAATGATACTTCTTCGATAAATAACTGACTTAGGATTCAACAAAGGATGTAACCAAAATGAATTTAGATGTGAAAATGGACCCTGTATCAGTCTAAAACTTAGGTGTGACGGAAAAGTGGACTGTCCATACGATACCAGCGATGAATTAGACTGTCATTTTAGTCTACTGTGTAGGTGTGGTTGAAAAATAACACCTAGGTTGTCTTTTGATTTTGAAAATTGCAAATGGATAGTTTAATTTTTAAACTGTTTTATTTACTTCAACTAAAAACAATTTTTTATTGACAAAATACTGATTTGAACAGTATATTACAAAATTGGATGAAATCTAACATCGAATTGGCTTCAATATGATTTTTTTTTATTCGAACTAAACATAATTTGCAACTCCAACTATATTGATTGATGAACGGTTTTTACAAAATTGAATAGAATAATAATTAGGTCTAACCTCTCTAATTGGCATTAAAAAAATTAATACATAACAAAATAAATTTTTGAATTTGCGTTTATTTAGTTGAGTTTAGCAAGGATGCATTGGAATCAACACTGCTCAGATCAAATATTAATTAAATTATTTCGTTTGTAGACACTAGTGCTCAAGGTCTTCAACTCAAGACGTATCCAAACCAGCAGGAAATTAGAGAAAGTGAGTATTAATTATTATCGTTTATATTATAGATTTTTCTTTGTGTTTAAAAGGTGATGGATCTCTTTTTATGTTGTTATTAATGGTACATATTTATTATATCCTGTGATCTAATGAAAAAGTACGATTATTACTTATTTAAACTTGGCTATAGCAATCGATAAAGTTTTTGACGGTAACAGTAACACTGATCGTAAGTTTTAAAACACTAAAATTACTATTTCCTGTTTGGTGCCCAACGTGGGGTCATAAAAAATAGTATGACTAGGTACCTGTTAAACTATTTTAAAAAATATAATAAATAACATTTCTTTTAAAATTACTCCTTAAAATCATTTTCTTTAGTATTTATAAACTTCTTACTTTAGAAACTAAGAACATTTTTTTATGTATAGTAATCTTTTTGCAACTGTTCAATTTTTTTCAAACAAAAAACAAAATTGTCTAAATATTTATTTAAGAAAGTTGCAGGATGATTACAGAACTGTTTTTCTAAGTCTTCCTTTTTTGTTCTTACACAAATATTTAGTCTATTTAGTTTTAGTATGTAACTAATTGTTTTTGTCTTGTCCTATGTCTTTTCACGAGCAGACAAGTATAAACTTGGTGAGTAAACTATTGTCCCATCATGGGGGAGTGGACATCATGCTGATTTTTCACCAAATAATACAAACACCCATTTTTGATATCATTTCTAATCAACGATTTTTTTTTATCAAAATAGATGCTTCAAATTTACTCGACATGTAGAAAATTAGTTTAAATCATATAATTTTACATTATTTAACCACTTATGATTCAAGTTATACAGGTGCTTCATTGGTTTACATCAGTTTTAATACCAGTATTTAACAACTACAATAACATACTTATATGAAACTTGTATATATGCCTTTAATCTTAATACTTCAAACGTCAATTTGAGAAAAATACTTTTGAAAGAGTAGTATCAAATACATATACGAATGTACATTTTATGATGCAAATTTGAAATCATTTTTGATTCTATTATTGACGGTTTATTTGAAAAATTAATTATCTCAGTGGGTATGTATAAAAAAGTCAGAAACAAACTATTAGATTTGATCGAGATTTAATAACAAGATCAGATTTTAATAAAACATTTTACAAAAAAGCTAATAAAAATCCGCAACATATGTATAAATATTGATAGCTTGGACTTATGGTCCAACAAAGGTTTTGTAGATGTTCTTCATCTACAAAAAAGGTTTTGTAGATGTTCGGGGTAATATATTTTTTTCACTTTTTCAATGGTAAAATATGTACAAGACAAAAAATCATTACATGGTTTTGAGAAAAATTTACTTTATACAACTGAAGATTTTCTTTGGGACAGATATAATTGAGATACCCGGTACACAATATCATATTATCCGAATCATTTACTAAAAAAAATTTTTAAATTTGACTAGCTATTCATTTTAATGCTTGACATCTATACTCCTGTAACAGCTGACTTGGTAAAGAAATTCTAGTGATTACAATACATTAATACCTTCCATTTTGTGAATATAGATCGTGAAGTTGTCTTCCAATGTCGTGACGAAGGACCAATAAGGGCAGAAGTCGAATGGCGCAGAGCCAATGGTCAACCTTTACCACCTGGATCTAAAGATAATCATGGACGTCTGGAAATACCCGATATTAAAGTTGAACACGCTGGAACGTACGTTTGTGTGGCCAGGGGCTTCCCACCTGGTACTCCTGGAGCTGAATTGGCAGTTCAACTATATGTAGACAAAGGTATGCTGTTTAGATGTTGTAAATATATGTATCCACTCCAAGTGTCATTAAATTGTCAAATAAAATATCTTCTTGTGCTGATAATCGCTTTCATACCTTTACCTTGTCACCAGACAACTTTACTAGCTTATTGACACTTGTACCTATTATTAAAACATATTTTTAAGATCATTGTTAATTTTGATATTGATAAAAATGTATTTATCAGGCAGCAAAGGCCAATCTTCAATTTTAAAATACGGTGTTATGGCACCGATAGATACTGACTATCATGGCACAGGTAAAATTAATACGATTAAATCAGTAATGCACATATTTGCAATTATGTATTTTATTATTTTTATGCTAACTGAAATAATTTTTTTGGTAAGTGTATAAAAATGTTTTCTATAAGATTATTAATAATTTAATAAATGAATGTGAATTTCCCGTAGAATGAACTCTTATTGTCAAAAATATTTAATAACATCTTTTATATCTACAGCTCCTCCCCCATACATTGCTCCAACAGTAAAATGCTACCTCAACGAATCAACTTGTGCCAATGGAGATTGCATTCCGAGAAACAAAGTCTGCGATGGAGAATACGATTGTACGGATGGATCAGATGAAATTCGCTGCAGTAAGTAGCACAAACGTTGTACAGTTTGAAACATACTTTAAGTTGCATTTGTATTTTACCATTATTTTATGTTGGAGAATATCAATCGCTGTCATTTTCATGTAACATTATATGGCTACTACCTATAACCTGCTATAACCTAATAGTTGGCTACACATGGCTTCGTCCTTTAGTCCTATCAGCTTAAGATGTCTATTAAGCTTAAGCAAAATGTCGTGTTAGTAGACACACTATATTTTTGTAGACACACTGTTTTGACAGTCTTTCTGTTTTTGCTTATAAAGTCTGCCGTAAATTTTGGCGAATGTTCTACTATGAACTTTTTTGTCTGTCTCTACCCTGGTGAATTTCTCTATAATTTGATGAAAAGGTTTGTTGCTCATCAACTGTTGTATTGCAACTTGATTGATTGATTTTGCAGTGCCATAGAAGGTTTCTGGGCCTAGGAACGGCATGGATGAGCCTTGTTTGACCATTTCATCTACCTTTTCCTTATACTTGTAGCCCTCGTGCCCTGGTACCCTCGCTAACGTAACATTGCTACGTTTACTCAATGTATTTACTCATTGTCTTGACAATGTTGTCCTTGTCTCAAACCTAATATTCCAGCTCCGTACACCTTCCTATGTTCTTGAGCCAGGTGTATACCAAGTTGCCTCAGCTTGAATGCGTATACCATTTATCCAGTGTTACTTACATATGTGATGTCATCACAAATCAGAATTATATCCAACTTTTTTCATTACTTATATCTAACTTTTAGGTTTGAAATGTGAACCTAACGAATTCAAGTGCGATAACAAGAAATGCATCCACAAATCTTGGGTTTGTGATGCCCAGGACGATTGCGGCGACGATTCAGATGAAAAAGCTTGCAGATTGCCACTTCCTGGTGAAGGATGTGGTCCTAATCAATTCACTTGCAGAAGCGGACAATGCATTCCAAGATCATTCCAGTGCGACGGGTCTATGTCGGATTGTACTGACAGAAGTGATGAAATTGGTTGCAGTAAGTACCTATTATATCTCTAAGATTATGCATACTGCTATTATAGAAGTGTTGAAGAAAAACGACTTAACTACAAGTGAGATACTTGTTAAAAGATTAAAATATTTTCCAACTAAAATGAGAAGCATATCTTTATTTCTAAGGTCACAAAAAAGAAACGCTAAATGTTAAACCATAGTCAAATGAGACGTAATCCACTCATCTGAATTTGTCGAGTTTAAACTGTCATATTACTTTCATGCGAAATAAATTAAAGTGACTTGATCGGTTGACTTGTTGCCTGAATTACATGAATGTTGGAGGTGTGATTCTATTATTAGACTAACTTTCAAATCTTTTTCTTAGTTCGACCTGTAATTTCCGAACACCCAATACGCATGGTCAGGCTGTCTGTCGGCTCACTATTCCAGATCACTTGTCGAGCCGTTGGAATACCCGTTCCTGAAATTATTTGGAGACTCAATTGGCGTCACGTACCCTCAACATGTAGAAGTACCAGTGTTAATGGTTTAGGTACACTTATATGCGAAAACATCCAAGTCGAAGACCAAGGAGCTTATACGTGTGAAGCTATTTCCACGCTGGGCTCAGAAATGTCATCTGACACTATTCTGGAAGTGTATCAACAAAGTGTTTGCAGACCTGGTTACTTCAACACCGAAGCCCGACAGGAAGGAGAGTGTATTAAATGTTTCTGTTTTGGACACGCCACCAATTGCAGATCAGCCGACTTATTTATATTCCAGGTTTGTAACATTATTAATTTTTACAACAATTTTTACAAATGTTAGAAAAGAACCATTTTTAGGGTTCCGTACATCAAAAGAAAATAACGGATGCCTTATAGGAACACTTTGTTGTCTGTCCGTCCGTTTGTCTATCAGTCTGTCTGTTAAGAACCTTTATCTCGGGAACGCGTAGAGGTATTGAGTTGAAATTAAAACCATATACTCAGGTCTACAGTCCCTTGAGGCTGAGAAAATATCAAACTTCTAAGTTACCGTAAAAAAAAGATACAGCCGTTTATGCCGCCAAAAACGTATAATTCGACACTCTCAAGGGAATCAAAATTTATAGGGTACTTTCCGTTGACCTAGAGCTATGAAATTTAGCATTTAACACCATCTTGTACTACAAATATAGGAAAAAATCGGGGTATCGTGAAATGGCTTGAATGGCACAAACTTTAGGCCGCCATCTTGCGACCCATGAGCCGATATTTTGTGTTCACTTTGGGCGGCAGCCTTCACTGGCTAAAAAATTATCGTAGACCAACCAAGTTTTAGGGGTAGGTTGGGGGACCCCTACTTACCGCATACGAGTAGTTTCCAATGGAGATATTGAACTTCTGATGTCGGGATTGCATAATATCATGGTCAAAAGTCAACATTGTCCGATTTGGATGAAATTCGGTTTGTAGGTTCCTTTAGGTCCAGTGAAGGTCTTGTGACGGTAAAATTCTTGGCCTGAGCTCCGTTTACCACTAACATTTTTAATTATTAGCGACCACAGTTTTAAAGACATTTTTGTCTCTGGCAACATGAAACAGAGCTTTTCCACCAGCCGATACCATATTAATAGACATTTTTATGTCTCATTTTAAAAAACACTCATTTCTCACAGTTTAACCTATCAACAAATGTGTAGACATAATTTATTATTTTTTAGTTCCAACCACCGTTCGACTCGCTCAAATTGTTGGGAGCTCGTATTGATCCATATACCGGTGTAGTGGACATAAGAGACGAACCAATCTACAAAGGTGTAGAGCCACAGCTTATACAAATAGGAAGCAATGGAGTCAAGGCATCTTTACCGTACTATGCTGAACTGAATCAACCAAATGTAGTCCCATACTTCTCCTTACCTGAAAATTACCACGGAAATCAGTTGAAGAGTTACGGAGGATACTTGCAGTACAACGTCCATCATTCCAACGATGGAAGACCAATAACTGGACCAGATGTCATTTTGACAGTAAGTTTAAATCGATTCTACGATATAACTACGATTCTAGGATCTATGATAATATTTTCTCGTGCATTGTTTTAAATGTTAGTTGAATCTACAAAATATCCAAATGACGACGTTGTATATCTCAGTAAAATTCTAGAGAATACAAAATTATCCCTTGGTTTTTTACTGGAACTTAACAATAAATCAACAGAAATTTACACATCTTGTTATTACAGGGTAACAACTATATTTTACTACACCAAGCGGCATCACCTCCACCATCACACCGAACTACCCAAGTAAGAGTACGTTTCTTTGACGGAGACTGGGTAATCAAATCAGATAGAGAACCAGAGAGATTGGCAACTCGTGAAGAAATAATGATGGCCCTAGAAGACGTCACAAACATCCTCATTAAATTAGAATACAACGAAGGATTGTTGAACACCTCCTTAACCAGCATCACCATGGACTCTGCCGGGTCTCCAGACAGAGGATTTGGAGCCGCTAACTACGTAGAACAGTGCTCGTGTCCGGTCGGATATACCGGAACATCTTGCGAGGTATGTTTAATGCAGACAATGCCGAAATAATAAGTTATATTGGACAAAAATTGATTAAGGATAATTTTTAGTACTGCGATGAGGGATATACACGTCATATATCTGGACCATGGTTAGGACAGTGTTACAGGGAACCTCCCGCGTGTCCACCAGGAAGTTACTATGACGGAAGAGAATGTCAGATTTGTCCATGTCCATACACTTCTCCTAGTAACCAGTAAGTAACTGTTATACAGAGTCACAGATAAAGTTTCCATTATGTGGGATATATTATTGACTGATTTAGGTAAAATTTACTTTTTTCTTTTAAATACACTCAACGGCAAGAAAAACAGGCAAAATTTTGATATATTTTAAAGTTTAATATATTTTGTTCCAGTGGGCCGATTTTGATGATTTTTTCAAGCAATTTGTTGCAAAATTATTTGAATTTTTAGAATGTCTTTCTAAATTAAAAATGAAAGTTTTCATCTGTCAACGAGGGAAAACAAAATATTGATATTTTGGTGAAAGTTTGAAACACCCTGTGGAATATGTTACCACAGCAGGGAATTCAAAAATCATTTTATCATCTAGATACGTCTTTTCTCGATAGTTTACTTTTTGATTCATCTTAATAGCTTTATTTTTATTGAAGATATTTGTTTGTGAATAAGACAGTAACCATTTACAACAATTGTGGGTCCTCATCATCGCACTTATAAAATAGTGTTTATTGATTTTGTAATGTCACAGTTTGTCATTGAAAAGTCATATTATTATTGTTTATTGACGTTTACTCTGCCAGAGATGGTTTTAAAATCTGAAGTATTGGCTATTGCTGCTTTAATTGATCATGGTAGAGATCAACTTTTGAACTTAAAACCATATCTGTTAGAGTAACTGCCCAACAGACAATAATAATATGATTTTTAAAAGACCATCATCTTAAAGTAGGTACTTATTAATACGTAATTATAAATAATTGACCTACTTCATTAGGTTTGCCCGGACTTGTCACCTTGGTTCGGACGGAAACGTAGTCTGCGACTGTCAAGTGGGTTACATCGGTGTGAGATGCGAACAGTGCGCGCCTGGATACGTGGGAAATCCCCTAACTATTGGCGATTCATGCAGACCAGCCCCTGTGTCCCGCTGTGATCCAGTGGGTACGCTAGGTCAGGACGCTGACGGAAGATGTTTGTGCAAGGTAAGAACCATGAATAAAATAACCAAAAAATTGAAAAAATCTTCAAATTTAAATTATAACATAGTAGCACAATTGGCAGATTTAGTTAAATGTGTGTTTTATTTATACAATTTTTAACTTAATTATTTATTTTTTTCTTGCCCCCTTCAACCCGTTCTACTACGGATTTGGTGAGTAATATCAAGAGAGAACAAAAACTCAAAGATCTCATTAACTATCTTTCTCTACACTTTTTAAAAGAAATATTTTAGCGTCTAACTACAGGCGGAAAAATAATTTTCAATATTAATTTTTAATTTTCTTGTGTTATTTATTTTTCGAGTAGTTAGATTTTATTGAGTGACTAACACGTGGTTGAGATTCGACATCAATAGAATAGATACTACTTATTTGAGTTTGTAAATAATACACTTATTAAAATATATTTTAGCAAATGTGTAATCATACCACTTTATCACCATAAGACATATACATATGCTTTATGTGCCTAATAGGTCTATGAATATATCTACAGACTACATTACCCTTTTTTATTGTACAGGGTGTACCAAATTGAAGGTTGGCCATTGGGTACCGGGAATCTATGAGATATGGAGAAGGCCAAAGGTTTTTTAAAGTTTTGGAACTTCGAATACTTCAAAATCTTCTAAATCGTAAAATTAGTTTTGCTGATATCGGTGTTTAAAAACGTTTTTGAAAACTAGTAATATTGACTTTTTCTTAAACAAGATATTTTGCCCTATAAAAGTTTTAAATACACATCAAGGAAACCACGATGTTTCATTTTCAATCCTCAGTATTCCATATATATATTTGGATATCTTCCTTTGAATATATTTCGTCTAAGAGGTATTTCCTATTGGGACTTTTCGAATTGTATACTACACAATCGTATCACCCTGTGTAGTTCTTACCATAATGTATGGTGTCCTGTATTGAAATTTATCAATTCAACAAAACGTTCTTTAATTTGTTAATACCGATTTCCGATATTATTTGTCAAGTTTTTCAAAATTTTTTGTTAAACTTACTTGTTCACTTGAAAATACAGATTTGAATAAAGGTATTTCATAGACCAAAATTTATGCAACGTGGAAAGGATTGCAGTTTTTTAAATATTTTTGTTTTACTCTACCATATATTATAAGAAACTGTATATACTAGACGATGTATAAATTATTGTGTATATCAATAATTAACTGTCATACTCCACAGTAGTTTAAACGGGTATTTATCCATGCAATTTAATAGAGAACCTCACTTTCACACATAAACGCTTAAATAACATGGTTTGAAACAATTAGTTACGTTTTATGGTTTCTAGGCGTACACTACTGGACTTTATTGTAACAAATGTAAGGAGAAATCGTTCTACCTCAGCGCACAAAATCAGTTTGGTTGTATTGCCTGCTTCTGTATGGGTGTTACACAAGAATGTTCCAGTTCCCACTGGTATAGAGACACGGTATGTATAACCACAGATTAGGTATACTATAAGTATACAGATAAAAATCTTGTCCCTAATTCGTGGTACGAAAATTGTTTTTTATGACGATGAGCAAACGAGTAAAATTTCCTGTGCGCAAAAATAAACTCGCGTTTAAACAGTGTAATATCTGGGCCGGTCAGGCGCTGTGCACAATTTTAGAGGCCTAAGTGGGCGTGCTATGTGCGCAAACTAGTAAACTAAGTAATGCGCGACTCCGAAAATTGGAACCACGAAAAACAATACTTTTGACGATAAGTTTATAATCTGTATAATCTGTGGTATAACCCTCGTAATAATATATACGCAATATCACCAATATAGACTATATTCTATTCAAGGGGAAGATGCATGACAATGACAGTTTTATGTGTCATTTTAATTCACAGGCAAATTATAATTTCTGTCATTTCTTGGATGTCGTCTGTCGAAATCTTCCCCGAGTCGTTGGACAGGCTCTCGGACAGACTATATCGAAAATTATTTTTAACTGAAAATTCATCTTTTTTTTTGCTTTTGTATTCTCTATTTCAAAAATATAATTTTTTGATTAAAAAAGTGGTGAGAATGATGTCAAAACATGTCCTTTTTGATTCTACACTACCATGCTATATCCAAAAATGACAGAAAAAAACAATATGCTTTTCAGTTAAAATAACAGACATGTCTCACTGTCATATATTCTCTCCTAAACCTAAATCTCAAGAAAATAAAAAAATAAAAAATTCAAAATTCTCCTTGACTAGAGTATACATATATGAATAATTTATTAAAATACTTTCTTTTGTATTACTAGATTCACTCTGTTTTAACAACGAACACCGTGGCTGACTTCAAATTGACGGACATCAACAAGCTAAAAGACATTACAGAAGGTATCACGCTGAACAGAAACACCCAAGAAATATCGTACGCCTCGTTCTCACAACCAGACGTCTACTACTGGTCGTTGCCCAGCAAATATCTTGGCGACAAGGTGACATCTTACGGCGGATACCTTACGTACACCATAAGGAACACCCCTGTACCTGGTGGAGCCAGTTCAAGAAACAATGCACCAGATGTGGAACTAGTTAGCGTAAGTAGAGAAGTAATTGGATAAAAAGACTAAGGAACGAGCATATCAACACAATTGGCGCGACCAATTATTAGTCTTGGCATAATGTCATTCCAGATTTATATACTTTTTACAATACAAATCAAGAAAAGTGCAAAGAACTTCCAAATATTTGGAACAATAATATTTTTTTCAAGAGATTAAAAGTCAAATATAACTGACAATAAAGGTATTTCAAAATGGCATCTCTTCTAAAATGGAATTTCTTCCTGAGTTTTTTTTTATTCAACGTAATAAATATCTTACCACTTTCTGAAGTGAAGAAAGTAAGGTATTACCAAGAAAAAAAATACTGTTGTTTTTACAGGATAATCATATCAATTTGCTACATTACTCAAGTAACAAATCCCAATCTACCAACGCACCACAAACCTTCGTTGTTCCACTTTTGGAACAATACTGGCAACGAAACGATGGTCTTAAAACAGACAGAGAACACCTACTCATGGCTTTGGCTGACGTTCAAGCTATCTACATCAAGGCCACGTATTTCACCAACACCCAAGAAGCAGCGTAAGTGACCTTATAAAGAAACAAAATCGTAAATCAAGAGAACTAAAGATATGTTTATTTCTAGGTTAATATCTGTGTCCTTGGATACTGCGACTGAACAGAACACTGGTCTATCCAGAGCTTGGGAAGTCGAACAGTGTCAGTGTCCTGTTGGATACACTGGATTATCTTGCGAGGATTGTGCTTTTGGATACACCAGATCTGAGGAAGGAATTTACTTGGAATTGTGCATGCCGTGCGAATGTAACGGATTCTCAAACGAATGTGACTCAGAAACTGGAATTTGTAGGGTAAATAAAATATTTTAAGCATCAATGGTTAAAAGGTCCTAACCAAGTATTAATATTGTATATTTATTATTTCTTTTTTTTTTTTGTAAATATACCTGATACCCAGGTTTCTAAAAAAGTATATTAAGTTTCGAGTTTGAGATTTTTATTCCACTTTTTTTATATGTATCAGGGCAAAAGCTGAAGCTGAAGCATTTTAAAAATATATTTCAATATACTGCACGATTTAAGCATTTTTTAAACTAAAGTTTTATATTTTTAAATGGCATACTATATACTTTTTACCTTAGTGAATTTACTACTATATTTTAATTTCAAAAATACCATAACGTCATATTTTTTACCGAGTGGTTTTTGTTATATCACTACTTATAAACTAAATTTCGCGCATTTGAATCATTAATTACGAAAACCTAGATTAAAAGTTTGATACATTTTAGACGGATCTACCTTTAATATACCTAATAATTCTTTGCAGTGTTGTTTGATATATACAGGATGAGTTAAAACAACATTTTTCTCCAATATTTCAAATAGCACAGCCTCTATTTTGTATTATAAACGAACAGAGGTTTGTTTCATATTTCGTTATTTGAAGTAGTGAAGAAAAAAGTAACATCCAAGTTTTGACTCACCCTGTATATAGAGTGCAATATAGTGTATTTTAGTATACCTAGTTTGGTTGCTATTACTTATATTTTAAATTAAAAAATATATGTAATTTGGTATTTTATTATTGAGAGTTTCAAATGTGCAGTAAATGTCATAAGTTGACATATGATATGACATTCTATTTAGAGTGTCATTTTCTATTGAATAAAGTAGAAATATACCGAGGGTGCCATTTAAAAATCAAAAGTTGTAGTTATTTCCGGCGAAACAGGAAGTGACCAAAAACAATTGAATACGTCGATCAATCCAAATTTACTAAGATACCAAATCTCGTTTTTTTTTATTTGAAAAAATAAAAAAGTTATGCGGGTTATAGGGGAGATGCACCCGGTGTGTAGTAGTAGAAATAAAAAGATGATTGGGGGGAGGGAAAATCTCAGACGAGATTCCTAGAGATATAAAGCTTTTTTGGATTGTTGCGTTGCTCTGTAGTATTAATTTCGTGATACTTATTATTCATTAAAAAATGTCCAATTAATATACAAATAATTATTTCATATTTATTTTTTTGCTTTATTGGTGATACTATTATCTTCTACAGAACTGTAGAGACAACACCGATGGGGATTCTTGCGAACAATGCTTACCAGGATACAGCGGAGATCCAACACGCGGACAACCATGCAGATATATCGGTCCAGTTGAACCATGCAATTGCGATCCGCGAGGAACAACATACGCTGGATGCGTCAACGGAGCTTGCCAGTGCAAAGTATAAAAATTCAACACTTAGAAATCCATATTGTTCATTATATTTTTTAATCTTTAGTCCAACGTAGAAGGACGAAACTGCGACAGATGCAAGAACGGCACTTTCGGATTGAGCGAAGAAAATATCGAAGGCTGTGAGTTCTGTTTCTGCTCTGGGGAATCCAGCGAGTGCACAGAGAGCCGTTCTTATATCGAACAGATCCCTGTACAAATAGTAGAGAACCACGGCTTCATTTTGACCGATCAGTACTTCAGAAAACGCATAGAATCGGATTTCAAAACCAGCCTAGCTTTAAATGAAATCGGCTACAACTTTCCACCCAGTCAAAGAGACACTCTCTACTGGTCATTACCTAGTACATTCACTGGTAATCAAATAAAGTCTTATGGTGGTAAACTAGAGTACATGCAGAGATACATCGACTTGCCTGACGCGAAATATACCAGAGACAAAGATATTATTATCAAAGGGAACAACATCGTGATTTCCTGGACCAATCCCAACGAACTGAAGCCTGAGAAATTGAACAGTATCTCTGCCAGGTTGCATCCACGTGCAAACTGGTACAGGCTGGACCAAAATAAGGAGAGCAGACCGGCTTCCAGAGAAGATATTTTGACTGTTCTGGCTAACATCGAATCCATTCTTATTAGAGCTACACTTTCTACTGATACTTCGAGCACGTTCTTGAGCGACATCTCTTTGGACACTGCCGTAGATGTTTATAATGGAAAACAAAGAGCCATTAATATTGAAATTTGCAGGTAGGTTAGGAAAAATATTACAGAATTTATTTACAAATTAAAGAAAAACGAAAAGACTTTATAAAAATACATTAATATATTTACCTTTGTTTTATATTTTAGATGTCCCCAAGGTTATAGAGGAACTTCATGCGAATCCTGCTCAGTAGGATATTACAAAGACCTATCCTATTCCAGCACAAATCCTCTTGGAACATGTAGAAGGTGCCCTTGTAACAGCAGAGAAGAAAGCTGCCAGTACGCAGGCGCGCAGGGCGTGATCTGTAACTGTTTGCCAGGATTCTATGGAAGAACCTGCGAATCAAGTAAGATTCCCATTATTTTATTTTTACTTGCATGAAATATTAATGGAATTAAGTTAAAATAGATCTGTTTTCAGCCTATTGCACACACTCAAGACACTATTTTTTTATTGCTGACTTAATTTTTAGTGTTGCATGAAACTAATTTTTAGTGTTTTTAATTAATTTTGTTGCACGTTTTTTGAAAATGCAAAAGGAAATATAAATATTCGATTTTTTTCTGATTTTTGCCACTTAAATCATTATTATTTAATCTATGTTACTATTATGTATTTCATTTATAAACGCAGATTAGATTATTAAAAATTTATATTTTTGATTTTTGTGTCATATTTAATAAAATTTAGTTAGAATGTCTCAAAAAAATAATTTGCATTAGTTTTGTTCAGTAAAAATATCGATGAAGGCTTTTTATAGTCAATTTAAGACACGAACTCTTTGAAGTAAATACTTATTACGCTGTTTTTAATAAAAAAAATAGTTAATTAACAATCAACACCACCAATTAGACAGAAATTATAATAGCATACTCGTTAGTTAAGAATAGAAACACGAATAAACATTACAAAAGAAGTTAAGATAATAACATTTTCTTTTTAAAAAATCATATACGAATTGCTCAAAAAAAAATCTATAAATCTTTCTGATAATACTGGTTATTGATGTCTTATCAATTGACGAATATTGATGTAAGATCGCAATTAAAGCATGAACTATGACTCTATTTTAAGTGGCGAAAATTGTTGATAAAATTGGAAGCGCATAATCACGCATTAGTATCAAATTAACAAGTTTCACTGGGACCAAATTTATTTTTATAGCCAACGATTTTAACTTACTTCTCACCTCTTATAATAATCTAGGATCGATTCTAGACTCCTAGCCCTACATTTTCCTCTTCTAATCTATTTTTCCATCCCTCTCGAAGTCTCGCCAGGTCCCATTATCGATATAGGAATAGAAATCACCCCGCCCAGGGTTGTAGCTCCAGTGGGATTCCAACAGGAGATCACGTGCAGGTACCGAACGAAAAACGTGATAAGAAACTACGATTTTCTCGTTAGGAATCTCAATACGTCTTACGAGACACGTCTCACTAACACCGTGCGGTTCAAAGGAGGCGCCCAGGCTTCCTTTTACTCTGTGGTTGGGTGCACAGAACAAACCTACCAGTGCGTTATCGTGACCAAGGAAGGATACAAGATCGGAGCTGTGAACGTGGTGGTTAAACCAGGTTTGAACACTATCCACATCACCACGTAGAGCTTGCTGTGAGATTACGTTCACCCTCCGGCATAGATAGTGTAGTTGTATCATATTTTTTTGTCCGCAGGAACATCGGTCTATCTCTATTTATCATTTTATATTTTGTTTAGGCTTTTATTATTGCTTTTTATCGCATTTTGTTTGTGTGTGTTTTGTGTTTTTCGTAATATTTTTATTATTAGGTTTTTACTAACAGATATTTGAACTGATTTAGGACAATATACTATGTGATCTATTGAACACGATGTCACAATAGGCATAGTAAAACATATTATTAAGTTATTTGGAATGAATTTTTAAAAAATGAAAAAAAATCTTAAACTTTCTTTTATATAGTAGTTTTAACATTTGATTGGTAGTTGTCATTGTATCTGTTAGTAGCTTCAGCTATTTGACAGAAGACAACTCAAGAATATAATTTCAACGCCCACTGTGATGTCGTTTTCATTCAATTATTCAATATACATTCCTAGGTACATGAAAACATTTATAAAATTGTTATTATCTACACCATAAATATAAAAATATTAATTCAATTTTTTACATATTCTTTTGAAATACTGACAGATAATTGAAATAAAGATAAACAAATATAAGCACTTGATCATGGGTAGCTTTATGTTTGACTTGTTTTTACATCACGTTTTTAGTTAACTAAAAATAATTTTAATTACTATACAACTTAATTCAGTTTTGAAACTAATATTTTTAATATAAATACCGTACGATAAAAAACTGCGTCCTGTTGGCTTAGAAATGACAATTGATGATATTTCCCATATAACTTTACATACAAAATGACGGCAATCTTTTCCAAGTCATGTCTGACGCTCTTTTTTTTTATTGTATGGTATCAGTTCTAAGAAGATTTATTCTTGATATACATATAGTAATTTTAAAGATAAAAATATCCTGAAGTATTATCTTTAAATCCTTAAATTTCAAAATTAAAATCATATTTTGCAAACTTTGTATATCATCCAGTGCATTTTTAGTGATACATTAATTCAAGAAATTAAATGTATTTTTACTTGTGCTTCTGTAGCTATTTTTGTAATACTATATATTTCATAAAACTTTTATACGGTAGTATAATATCATGACATCAAAGTTTCTATACATAGTGTTCAAAAATTGTGTACGTATATTTATTTTTAATTCTCCACTAGCTAAGAAGGAACTACTGAAAAAATCTTAAAATGAACTACTTATAAATATAATTAAAATAAAAATGTTCAATGTTTTCAGTTACATAAATTTTATTGTGATTTTTAAGTTACTATAAGTCAATAATGACCAATCTCAATTTGATATTCATATTTGGTTTAAGAAATTGACGATTAAAATATATTGGTGAAATTTCTGGACACTCTGTATAACAAAATACGTGTGCTTCGTAAATGTATCATATACATATTCCATTCTTTTTTTTATTTTAAGTCCTTTAATAACCGTTAATCGTAAAAATAACATTATTTTCAAGAATAATTTAAAAAATTTAACATAAACATTTAATCAAAAAATTATCTATTTTTTAAGTTAATTTTACTAATAAAGTAATAGATTTAATATATAATTTTGTGTCTAATACAATTCATTAGATGCGCAAGTTTTTTTTTATTTATTATTTTTCATTTTTTTTCTGGGTAGTACCAAAATCAATTTAACAAATTAGATATCATTTAAAATGAACTCCACATATGTAAATAATGGTTCCCTAATTATATCGAACTGACAAAGAGATATTTACTGTAATATATTAGATTGTAATAATTTTTCATGTTTTAGCGGAACTGATACCCATAGACCCTGGTTCTAGCGGTACTGTCAGACCTCCAGAACCACCAACAATTGACGTTGTTATCTCCGGACACAGACTAGAAATTTATGAAATTGGCAGCTCTGTAAGGTTGAATTGTTCGGCTGTATCTAGACTCTCACCTAAAGGCGTAAGTATGAAACATAAAGTGGACCTCATACTCTGTTAAGTTATGCAATATTTTCAAAATTTAGGATATTTCCGTAAAACTGTAAGCTTTCTATAAAAATATACTATAAAGAATTTAAACGGCTCGAAAATGAAAAAAAATATATCAGGATACTTAATATTATAGATGACAGCATTAAATAGATATAAATGAAAATTCATCTTGTCAATTCAAAATTAGAATCATTTTTGTAATACTAAAGTCGACTAAAATTTCTTTATTAGCCTGTTAGAGTGTCATGGACCAAAGACAGTGGAGAACTACCCTATCATGCCATTGATGATGGACGAGGTATCTTATACATTCGAAACCTTGCCGTTAGTGATTCCGGAAGATATACCTGTCAAGCGGATGATGGATATTCGATAGTTGCTCAGAGTATAAGCATTACTGTAGGAGGTAAGACATATATTCTATATTTTACAGGTATAATTTTGTTAATATTATAAAATGTTAATATCTTGCTATTCAATGCTGCATTTTAGTAAAAGTAACAGAAGCTATGAAAAATGCAAGTAGGTATAAATAACGGTGGCAATTTATAATTATAAGTGAAATATTTAGTTATAGTTTTTATTTTGTTTTGCACACATATCATTTTTTATGTATTTAGAGCTTCTAAAATTTCTCTGGATTTTCGAACATATATTTGAAATAAAATCATAGTTTTACATCAATACATCTTCCTGTTTGAAAAGTATAAATGCCATAAACCATTTCATATCTCTAATATATGTATATTGATTTAACTTCTTCCTTGTTTAGATGTACGCGCTGAGGCACCAATCATTGCACTTTCGGCTCCTTTCATCCAAGTTAGCGAAGGTCAACTTATCGAGGTTCGATGCGCTGCTACCGGAAATCCCCTTCCAGAGTACTCTCTTTCCAGAATTGACAGACAGCCCATCAATCCAGCAGTAAGTCATATTAAAATACAATATAATTATTTTAACACTGGTCACACTTTTGTGCATCATGTTAAATTATGTGGACATTTACAATTATAGCAAGCTGTTATTTTTAGCATCAATTCGATCTGGGCGTGTTCAGAATTCTCCAAGCCAGAACAACGGACGCTGGTCATTACCAATGCACGGCTACCAACAGAGCCGGACAGGACTCGAAGAGTTTCGAGATCCAAGTGACGGCAGGATCAGTGTTGCGAGTAGAAATAACACCGGAATACTACGAAGGAAAAACAGGTTATATCAATTTATACTTGCTCGAGATATTTTTTCCTTAATATCCTGTCTTTTAGGTGACAACGTTGTATTGAGATGTATAGCTGACCGTGCCAGATCAATTTCCTGGTCCAAAGAATTTGGAAGCTTCCCTTACACATCTAGAGATGAGGGTGGACTGCTGACTTTCTCAAATATCCAACCTGAAGACTCTGGGGTATATATTTGTACTGCTACGTCATATGATGGAACCAGGGGCACTCAAACAGTCACTGTAAACATAGCTAGAGAATCAGGGTATGTATTACCCCAACGCCTTTTTGTTAATTAATATTTACTATTAATTAATTAGATTTGTATTAGGAATAAACACGTCTAAGAAACATAAACTTATTTCCTTTATGTATTTGTCCAAATTTCTTTTATTAATAAACTTTATTTTATTTAGAAGCTACCCAACTGCTCGTTTATCACAGGACAGATTCAATCTAAGACAAGGCGACTCTGCTCAAATTGTCTGCGAGGTCACAGGTTACCCTACACCAACAGTGAAATGGTCCAGAGCTCATGGCGCCTTGAGCCCCAACTTTGAACAAATCGGGAACACTTTGCACATAAGAAACGCGCACATTGAAGATAGAGGTCTCTATTTGTGCGTTGCTGACAATGGTAAAGGAGTGGATCAGGCAGTGGCCACAGTCGAAGTAACACGTAAGTTAATTTTTAGTTTTTCTATTATATCTGGTAACGCACTACGTCGATGGAAACATAGGAAATCCAATGCAGTTTTTGAACTGTCCAAATATTGGATTCCCTGATGTTTTTACAGCGAAGTCGCAAATAGATTTTTTTAAAGCTCTATAGATTTTTTTCAGTCTTGCCTTGGTCGGATATTTCGAAATTTTAAAAATCTTCTCTAATTTTCATGGCATTCTTTCAGTTTCAAATAATACCTTTAGATTTTAAAGCATATTAAAAAACTATTTTTTAAGGCTTACCTCTATTGAACTACTCAAATGCACACAGAGAATAATTTATTATACATCGTTCACTAAAAAATAAATTCAAATCAACTGAAATTTTTCCTCTTTCGAGTTGAAATCTTCCATAACTTTACTGTATTGGATTACCATTTCTTTTCAGGCTTTGAAACACCGCTCATCAGTCTATACCCAGAAGGAAGCTTAACAGTAACAGCCGGCAACACTGCCCAATTACAATGCAGAGCCACTCAAGGATATCCATCTCCTACTATCACCTGGAGCCGAGTGAACAACATTCCGTTCAATCCAAACGTCGAAGTCATGTCAGGAGGAAATTTGAAGTAAGTCAATTTGAAAAATGTCACTTTCGACAATGACAAAAAATTTAAAATGAACACGTTAAAATCGATTTTAATAACATGCCTGATATCGGCAGCTTTGTACTTGATGATTGAAAATTTTTGCGTTTATGTATTGATAGCTATGCTGATCAATTATATTACGTATTTGATAATCACGGACTATGACCACGAGTAATTTTTATTTGTTTTCTAAGTGTGTCATTATGATATCAAGAAGAACAATATATAACTTACTGGTATATTTTTTAGGATTGTAGGTATTTCACGTGCCGAAGCTGGCGATTACCTGTGCACAGCTACAAATGAGGCAGGAACTGCAAAGGCTACAGCTACGATATCAGTAATATCTCTTCCTGAGCTTTATGTGACTCCCGGTGATTCTGTAATAACGAAGGCTGTTAATGAGTATTTGCGTTTGGAGTGCCGAGGAATTGGAGTGCCAGATCCTCAAGTATTCTGGAATAAAGCTGAATATGGGTAAATATTAAATTAATGATATTTATTATTCTTATGTTTGTACCTTGTAAATATATTTTATTATAGATATTCTAGACCAGCATACGTACAAGGAGCAACAGGAAATGTGGCAGTTCAGGAGTTTAGCAGAATAAGATTAGAAGACTCAGGAACGTACATTTGTGCTGGAGTAAACGATGCAGGAAGATCAGAAACACGTGTTCAACTCAACGTTTTACCAGAAAGAGGGGATAATCCGGGTAAGTTATTCTAATTGGATAGAATATTATTTTTTTCTTTTGGCTAAAGGTCAATATTTAAAAATTCCGCTTAGAATTTTAATGCTTTTTACGATTTTCTTATTTGTTAATTAATAATAATTATGTGGTGTTTGCTTTATATACATATTGCCCCGCTCCTCTACTAATTCGTCGTTGATATGCTTAGGCCGATACTATCCAGGTAAATGCTTCATTCCTATAATAAATAATATTAAAAGGCAGATTGATTCAAAAATATTTTGTACAATAAAATAAACAAAAACAGAGTTAATCATATAATCTATTAAAAGTAGATAGTTTAGGTTAAATTATATTCGTTATTGATGTTTGTGTTACTAATAAGGATATTTTCGAATCACTTTGTTTTATTTAAAATATACTAGTGGTTCACTTTTTTTTCGTTCAACATTATTACTGGAAGAGTTGGATATTTTACCTAGTTAAAAGTAAAATGTAAAAAGATTTCTTTTTTTGTAAATGTAACTGAATTTAGTCACTGTCATAAACTTCTTAGTGTCTTTGTAGTAGTGTCTTAGTGTCTTTGTAGTCATAAACAAATTTTATTATACAACAAAATGCTTTTTGAAAGGAAAAAAAAAGAAGATTATATTTAAGTCCTGTCAGGTACCCTATTCTTTCAGTAATGAGTCACAAAGGTGTAAAAATTATTATATCATCATCATCGTCATAAATAAATTAATAATAAAGAGGCATGAACTTCATTTTTAACTCATTTTTACATACAGAGTAATAGTTTTAATATGATTTATGAAATTGTATATAGGTATAGTAAACACGCCTAGTGTAAATAATCAAATAAACTATTTACTGATTTTAATAAAAAAAAATTGTAAAATACTCTATAAAATAGTGATTTTAATAACCATTCTTCAGTAACAAAAGTACAAAAATAGTTCGTTAGGAAGTTCATATATGCACGTTCTCAGATTTACTATCGCTTAAACAAAAAATATCAGTAACTTTCTAGGAAATTAATAATTTGTGAATTTATAGGAGGAGATTCACCATCACAGACCGAAGAATTTACAGCTATTGCAGGTGCCAGAGCACAGTTACATTGCAAAGTGACAGCTTCAGGTAAAGTATCTACAAAATTAGTTATTTAATAGCAACTTCAAATAATTAAATGTGTATTTTGAAAGAAAGATAAAAGAGATTATTTTGTGTTATATACCTACCTATAAGAGGTTTTTAAAATATCTTTTGGTATTCATTTACCTAACGAAAATGAACACAAATGTTATACCGGGTGTTTTTTAAAAGTGGCTCACCCCTAGAACTTTTTTATTTTGTTAAGACAAAGAAAAGACATACTTCTTATGTTAGTATATGGTGTAAATTAAGATTGATTCAATTATTTTCGGTCGTTTCCTGTTTCACCGGAAACGATTACAATTTTTAATTTTCAAATAGTAACCTCGGTATTTTTTACTTTATTTGATAGAAAATTGTATCTGAATAAAATAACATATCATATATTGGCATTTTCTTTAAAAAATATAATATTTTAATAATCAAAAGTTGGTAGTCATTTCCGGTGAAACTGCAAAGGAACGAAAATAATTGAATACGTCATCCAATCCTGATTTATGTCATATACTAACATATCAAACCTCGTTATTTTATCTGGAAAATTAAAAAAAATAAATTGGTGAACCACTTTTGGAAATAAACAGGTGGACCCTTCACATCCAAAAAAAGTCAAGTCTAATATAATAATTGTATAACTATTTTTATGCATTTTAGATAATGTCCAGCACCAGGTCGATTGGATACGATCCAATAACGGCTCACTTCCAGAGAGTTCTTATATCACAGACGGAACTTTGTATATCGATAACGTTCAGCCTTCTGCAGCCGGAGACTACGAGTGTGTCGTATATGCTTTACCATCCAGAAATATACGCTATAGAATATTTAGCCGTCTCAACGTCATCTGTAAGTATACCATAAAATACTTCTTTAAGCTTTCTTGTAATTTTGAAAGTTTAAGTTTAACCACAGCAGTACCAAACTACTCTCTTTAAAAAATATTTTTTGACGAACCTACTAAAATTATTACTTATTGACAGAACTTAGATATGATTAAAGTGTCGTTTTAATAATATATATTTAAAGTAGTATTATTTCGCTTGACGGTTTTAATATGATTTAATTCACGTTCTTCAATTGCTTGCTAACGCATATATATATTCTCTTTGCTTCATCAAGCCGAGGAAGACATATGTGCACGTAGAGGTACTGTATGTTTTCATCGGCTCTCATGAGGCCATCTTATGCCAGTATCTAGTTGCATCTTTTGTTCTATCTGATTAGTATTCTAGATAATGCTGTAGTATAATGTAGTAACATATAGTTAACTTATTTTAGTCTTAATTTGGTAACAGTGCATCTTATAAATGTTATAGATTTATACATTATTTAGTAAATTGCCAAGAATTACATTCTTTCAACAAAAATAGTAAATTTTCCAACCCAATTATTTTACATTTCGTAACTTTCTTAAACTGTCAATTCACAAAATTATTTATTACAGGTTTTCACACAAAGTACACACAGGTTTAATAAAAGTAATTTATGAACAAAAATAAATGTTACTTTATATTTCTGTCACAAAATGTTATGATTTCAATGGCAATGTAATGATATAAAATCTATACAGACATGACACCAATATCTACCATTTTGGCTCCAGGATTAGTAAAAAACCAACTGTTGCCATCTGAATAACATTAAAATAACCTAAAATCTTTTTACTTTCATTTTTTTACTACCGGTATCTGCCATTTTGACTCAAAAATTAGTGGACAAACCAGTTCTGGTACTCTATCTAGGAACTTTAGTGGGATTTAGAAGACTGCGCCATATAGCTATAGTTTTATCCAATCATTAGTTAATTTAAAATAAATCTGAATATTTATTAAAGCTAAGTTTAATATTTAAGTAAACCTATATAATGATTAATGAAGTGTATTAAGATTATACGCTATTTTCATAATTTTAATTGTAGCACCACCTCGAATCAGTCTGTATCCAGCCAAACAAGTAGTAGAGCCAGGAGACAATGCATACATTCAGTGTTCGGCTACTGGCGACCAGCCAATAGACATCCAGTGGTATCCGGTGAATAGAACAATGCCAGCTTCGGTATATACCCGAGATGGATACATCAGATTCAGCAATATACACCAGGACGACGCTGGAAAGTACAGATGTGCCGCTAGAAATTCAGCTGGTGAAGCTGATTCGGTTGCTGAAGTAGTAGTAGCCTGTAAGTAATTAGAGAATTAACTTCAGTGGGATAGACCCCTATAAGTAATACTCCTATGAGGTAAATATATATAATATAATACGTAACACAATTCAAATGCAAAGTTTGCCAAGTCTGTCTCCCCTGCTACAATATTTTTCTATCCCAACCACTGAATATATTTTTTATATTCTTTTTGGTAAATGGATAGATGCACTTTTAGGTGGAAGTAATACCTTGTCGTGCTTCTTTACCTTTTTTTATTATTTCCTCCATTTTAATGGAAATGTGAACTCATCATCACAGATCGATTATCCACCATCTGCCGTAGACGCATCCTGCAATACTTCTTTAATTTTTCCAGATAAAAAAACGAGATTTGGTATTTTTGTATATGACATAAATTAGAATTGATTGACATATAATTAGTATTACAGTTGAGGGTAGGAACCTTTGGTGTTACACAGCAAAATAAAATACTAAATCCCCACAAATTTGGTGTATTGTGGTGATTTAGTGTTTTTATTTTGATATAATTAGTAGTTAAAATTAGTGTTTTAAAATTGAAATTCAAAATACGATTTTTTTAAAGCGAAAATGTCAAAAGGTGACATATGATCTGTCATTCTATTCAGAGTGTCATTCTCTAGCTAATAAAAATATACTAAGGGTGCAATGTAAAATCAAAAGTTGTTGTCATTTCTGGTAAAACAGGAAGTGACCGAAAACAATTGAATAAGTCAATCAATCCTAATTTATGCCATACTAACATACCAAAACTCATTTTTTTTTAACTGAAAAATTAAAAAAGTTATAGGATAGGGGTGAGCCACTTTTAAGAGGCACCCGGTATAATAATCAATATTATATTAATTATAATTCCTTTGATACATAAATAACTATAATATCCTTATAGGAGTATTGCTTACATGGATAGATCTCACTCACTTGAAGTCAATAATTCACTAAACAACACATTATCTATTAAAAAATAACAATTTAACCACATATTTTTAGTCCAATCAGACCGTGTGCTAAATCCAGTGATCGAAGCAGAAAACCATCTTGTTACTTCAACGTCCGGTAGTACCGTCACTTTGCGCTGCAAGGCCGGTTCCGAACAGGCCAGAGTCCAGTGGCGTAGGGACGGAGCGCCAATACCACCCAACTCAGAAATCAGCGGTAGCAATTTGGTGCTGTACGATCTGAGTAGGGACTACGAAGGTCGCTACTACTGCGATAAGATTACTGAGAACGGAGTCGGAAGCGACTTTATCGATCTGCGTGTCGTGAGTAAGTATATCTGAGAGTATTACAATCCAATTTTACTTTTATGTCTTGGTGTTTTTTTAAATTTATTTAGTATTTAGCACATATGAAAAGAAATCATTTGTTAATGCTATGTAAAATTTGGTGTTTAAATGCATTTATCTCAAGGAAAATTTTAATTAAGTTTATGATATCGAAATTATTTGCATCTAAACTAAAAATTCATTATATTATTTATACATCTCTTAGAAAAAAACAATTCTAGGGAAAGAAATCTTTCGCAAGAGCTTCTATATAAGCAAGTCTTTCTTGTTACCTTTTTATTATGCAGTATTTTTGTGTCAAATGCGAGATTATACTGGGTACATTATACAAATATTACATAGTTTCCTCATCTTTGAATCGTGTTCTTATTTTTATTTTTTCTTCGCCATTTTTCCTTTTCACAATTTTTATATTTTTAAATTACAATAAAAATTTACGGGTTTTAACTGGGTCGATACATACTAATACCTAAATATTTAGAACTATACAGGGTGTTTCAAAAAACATGTGCCATCTCTCGTGGGGAGATTCCTCACGTAAAAATAGGATTTTGCTTTGTTTCGTAGCTACAGGGTGTTAAAGTCTTAATAATCTTTCAATATATTATACTTTTCTTCCAAGTACTTTTAGTGATTCAAATGAAATTTTGAGAGTAAAAGTTACTATAAATGGGACATATTTTAAAGCTAAAGAAGTGTCGACATATTCACCAGGGACGTGGATATGGGTTATCACTGGAATATTTTTCTAAAAAAAAGCATGTACGCCACTGACTTTTTTTTCTCTTGTTAGCGAAATAGTGTACGCAGGTTAATGCCGAGTACATGGAAAGTACTTGGAAAGAGTACTTGGGAAACAAGAATTAAACAAAAAATATTACAAAAATATACAAAGCAGAATTGGACCTATCTATGTTGATTTGAAAAAAATCTTATTTTTACGTTACGGCTCCCCATGAAAGATGGCACATGTTTTTTGAAACACCCCGTATATTTAATTAGAAACTATTTTCATAAAGTTGTTTTCTCTATACGATGATTCTTTTATATGTAATAACATGTCCCAAGAACATGTTCTTTTAAATATTATTTGCATCACATATTTAATTTTATCATTAAGCGCTTCAGCTTTCTTTGATTTATAAATTTCATTTTTTTTATAGAATCCAACATTCTAATAAATATATTTTCAATGCTTACAAGAAATTAATAATTAATAAATTAAGCGGGATATATTGCTAGAAATGGCTGTACTTTTGTTTTCTGATTGGCTATATTGGACGTATATACCATAAGATCAAAGTTTTATGGTCAAGTCAGCATTGAGCAATGGCAGCTCTATCAGTAAATTAAAATGTATTTTCCTATGAAAATTACTTCTGTTTTAATGTTCAAGATCTGCTTAAGCATAGAACTTCTTGATTATATGGTATTTATATATTGAACTAATATTGTAGGCAAAATTGCGCTTGTAATATTCGATACATCATAATTATATTCTACTAACAATTAAGTATGATTCTTTATTGCCTTTTATTAAAGATGTAAATGTTATGTTATGTAGTAATGGTAAGTTTGGAGTGAGTACATTATACAGGGTTCGGCAATAGTGCGTCGGGCATCTGTAGCTCCTAGAATAAAAAAAACTTGGGAATATTGTTTAAGTGCAAACCTTAAGTATGTTCTAGGATGTATTTCAGGAAAATATTTTAACTTCTATAGGGTGGGTTAAAAAAGTATGAGTCTATCGGGATGTTTTTTTTAAACGGAACACCCTGTATATTATTGCATTTTGCTATAGAAGTTAAAATATTTTCCTGAAATACATCCTCGTACATATTTTAGATTTACACTTAAAGAAATTTCCAAGTTTTTTATTCTAGGAGCTACAGATGCTCGACGCACTATTGCCGAACCCTGTATAAGTTTAGAATAAAGAATCATATAAGGAATAGGGAAGAATCATCTATTTGAATGAACCATTCATAATTACAATAATAGTGGTAACTCCAGGCAACATGGCAAAAACTGATATGACTAAAGTGAACTGCTATACTAGATCTTAGACGGAAAACTTTTTGGTGTTTACTAAATACACACATGTCCAAAAGCTAGAAATATGCTTAAATTAACATTATAATAACTTTCTTAAAACAACTATTTTCTTGATGTGTAGTTCATTATAGGTATGCCTGGTGATAAAAAGAAAATATTGCGTTTAAGTTACAATTTTGATGCATGTAGGTTGCACTGTGTCATCCCACTTTTAAGAAAGTTATTGTAGTTTGAATATACACATACATTTATATCCGCTAATTTTGAGCATGTGTTTCGATTTTGCCATGTTGCCTGGTTGTGCTTCCGTTAATACATGCGTCCTCCGTATCTTGCATGATCTCAGTACACCATAAAGAGTGTCTCCCCGGCTGGTGGCGTTGTGGCAACGGTAACTGTATCTCTCCCCAACTAATCTGCGATGGAACGGACGATTGTCACGACAACTCGGACGAATCGAGCTGTCAAGTGGCTAGGACATCACGGGGTTTGTTCATTAATTAGACACCTGTCACTACCTCATTAGGCGCTTTCTCTGGCCTGCCGCTGTCTTCTCAACTAGAACTACCAACCTTCCTCCTCTCAACCAACCCTACCACCACCTATCAGTGACGTCTCTTCTCGGAATGCGGTTGAGGGTGTTTTTTTCCCTGTTTAGTTTTCTTCTATTCATTTTTCAGTTTTTGTGTGTGTTTTTACTCATTTGAAGTGGAGAGTAATGTTTTACTTTTAATCATAAATTATTTGGTAGCCCTAAAATTATATTTTATTTAATACTTTATTATTATTTCAGCATTATTGCAAAGATATGAAATATGTAAACAAACCGGTATTAATGTAAAAAAATGGTTAATCGGTATAATGATATAATGGAAAATACATTTCTTGCAGTTTTTAGGTATATAATAAAATTACATAAGAGTTTCTTGCCTTGAACTGCTAATATAGAAATTGATTCCACGCTGTGTTCGACATAATGTGGATCAACCGGCTCTCACTACCGGGCCCTACCCCATCATCAGGTGAGCTTGGGTCGTTTCCACAAAATGTCGAGCACAGCGCAGAGTATATAAACACGACTTGTCGTAAAGTAGCGGTGAGATATTAAGTCCCGCGTCGCGAGATAGCGGCCTGCGTGCAATGGTAGTTCTTTCGTGCCACCGAGGCACAACTATCGATAGTAAATAAAGGCTTTTTTCGGCTAGCCCAAATTATATAATGGAAAATAAATTTCTTGCAGTTTTTAGGTAATATAATAAAATTATATAAGAGTTTCTTGGCTTGAACTGCTAATATAGAAATTGATTCCACGCTGTGTCGAAACCGGTAGTGAGAGCCGGTTGATCCACATTATGTCGAACATAGTAATTAAACAAGTTATTGCCGTTTGAAGCTAATAATTATTTAAAATAAATTTTTAGACACTCTGTATAAGGTAGTATTATTTTTATTATTGCAACACAATAACTGATCAATAAATAAACTTCAGTAAATATTTAGTATTAAAAACTTTGGTACCCTTGGAGGAATGAAGCCTTAAAATTTTTACTGCAATTTCACAAAATTGAAAATATTTCAAAAACGGTAAGGTTTAAGTATAATAAACCTTAATCAAATTTACCTTTATTTTAATCGTAAAAACTAAAAATGCAATAATATACAGGGTGTTCCGTTTAAAAAAATACAACTTTGATATTTTTTACTTATTTGGGACACTCTGTATCTTGTAAAATTATTTTTAAATTGTACCTCTAATAGTCCTTCATCGAACCCAAGACTTACAATTTGTAAAAATCTCATCGTTTAGCTACAATACTCTGTGTCGTATGTGTTGAACAACCCTGTATAGTCTGCGCTGTGCTCGACATTTTGTGGAAACGACCCAAGCTCACCTGATGATGGGGTAGGGCCCCGAAACCGGTAGTGAGAGCCGGTTGATCCACATTATGTCGAACACAGCGTGGAATCAATTTCTATATTAGCAGTTCAAGGCAAGAAACTCTTATATAATTTTATTATATAATGATATATACGTATATTACAGGGCATCACAGATAAAAATAATGTAAAAATATAAATAATTGTCATGTGATTAAGTTTGACCAGCACAGCGTTGCCAACTTTTACATATTTTCTTTTAATCCAAATATTTTAATAAACAAAAATAATTTAATTATAATTATAAAAACATTTATCACTTACATCGACAAAACTCTCCTCCTTAACAGCACTTAAGGGATATAAAGAGCCATCACTACTGCTTTCCCGTTATATAATATTCTAATAAGGTTGGGATGTACACTACGATGTATGCATCTTGTAACTTTCGACTGCAAGGTCTGCTAGTAAAACACAATTCGCTTAAACTAATAAGTCGTATTACAAAACTAGACTGTCAAAACGAATCAAAATGTCAGAAATTAAATAAAACAATGTGGCAACTTTACGTTTTTTTCCAGCAGAGCTACCACCTGAGTCATTAGCGGGAAATTTAAATTCTAGTTAGTCAGCCCGCGCGCCGAATATGTAAATGGTTGGTAACAATGAATTTAATAATCGCGCCCTGGTTGACGTAACTAAAAGTTTATTTGGTATCGTTTACAAGTAGTTTGTCTATATTTGAGCTGTTGTTTGAGTAGTTGTGTATATTCTAAAGCCAGTAACTTTCTGTGCATAAAATTAATATATTTTCTTTTAAATCTTAATCAAAAACGTAAACATTACTCTTCACGTATGCTTTTGTGTTAGTAACGACTAACCTAGTTGTAAATAATGTTGTTTCCGTACACACATGTGACATTTATATTTCGTTAATTTACTAAATGTCTTTATATTATTAGAAAACCTGTACTCAGAATGATCATTTTGTTTTTGATTTTAACTTTCACTCACCTTTTGAAAAGTTCTAATCAATTTTATATTTATGTATTTTGTTAATATTTGATATACTGAAATGATGATGATCGTGTTTCCTAAATGAAACTGTAGCCAGCAAAATAAAAATATAATATATCAGATATTTTATTTACTAATTATTATACTTCATAAACCTATACATATTTTTTTATTACTGAACATCCTATCTCCAAAATGTAAAAAAGTGGAATTTTAAAATACGTACGCATACTAATATAATCTTTACACTCTATATTTTTTTATGACTAATCAATCCAAAGCTAAAATATTCACCACAATACACCAAAACACTTTTACTTTTACACTGGACGCGCGTTTCGCTAACCATGTTAGCATCATCAGCAGATGATTATAAACTAAAGTACAATCTACAAGTTGAGCGTTTATATACTCGCCCAGTGGGCACCGAGTGGGCGTGGCAAAAACTAGCCAACCGAGTCAGAGCCAACTGAACGTAACAGTTAGATTTCCGCCACTAGAGTAGTAGGAACAAAGAACTTGAAGGAATTGGACCGTTGTCTCTGTTCATACTATCTTTACATTTATTAATTCTGATGCTTTCATATGCATCTAATTGCCTGTAATTTGAGACTTGTTTAATTAATTTTAAATTATTAAGATCTATACAATGTTCTTTATCAACAATATGTTCGGCAACGCAAGATTTATCCGGTCTACCATATCTTATCTGAGCTAAATGTTCTTTAAATCTAGTTAATATTGATCTTCTAGTTTGCCCAACATATTTCTGATTACAATCTTTACAAGAAATTTCATAAATACCCGACCTTTCCAGTGGAGATGTTTTATCCTTTGGATTACCTTATAATTGTTGTAATTTATTATTAGCACTATACACAAGTTTATAATTGACATTCTATAAATCTTGCGTTGCCGAACATATTGTTGATAAAGAACATTGTATAGATCTTAATAATTTAAAATTAATTAAACAAGTCTCAAATTACAGGCAATTAGATGCATATGAAAGCATCAGAATTAATAAATGTAAAGATAGTATGAACAGAGACAACGGTCCAATTCCTTCAAGTTCTTTGTTCCTACTACTCTAGTGGCGGAAATCTAACTGTTACGCTCAGTTGGCTCTGACTCGGTTGGCTAGTTTTTGCCACGCCCACTCGGTGCCCACTGGGCGAGTATATAAACGCTCAACTTGTAGATTGTACTTTAGTTTATAATCATCTGCTGATGATGCTAACATGGTTAGCGAAATGCGCGTCCAGTGTAAAAGTAAAAGTGTTTTGGTGTATTGTGGTGATTTAGTGTTTTTATTTTGCTGTTTAACACCAAAGGTTCCAACCCTCAACTGTAATCTAAAATATTCATTAGTCTTCTTTGAGAGTTTTTTAAATATAAAATTAATATAGACTCTCTATTAAAATATACATCAAGAATGGTTTTATGTAAAAGTAGTTTAGAAACTTTATGCATCGTGTTTAGGATAAGATTAACCGTCCTATAACAACTTCTGTGTCCAGGTTTTTGAGAATAACTTACTTCGTATTCCTAAAAAACATTCGTTAAAAAATAATAATGACTTATAGGTCCACCCTTAACGAAATCACTGCCTTCCAACACGCCAGCACTTCACATCAGTCCATCGCAGACCGAGTATGACGCAGGCGAAACCGTCGACCTCAACTGTCAATCCAACGAGCCCGGTGTTATACCAACTTGGTCAAAACTTAGCGGTGGATTGGCCGAAAATGTTCAGAACAGAGCTGGAAGACTCAGGATTAACAATGTTCGGGCTGATAATGAGGGTGTGTATAGGTGCGAAGCCACAGGACAACGGGGAACATACTACAAAGACTTGACCCTGTACATTAGAGGTAGGTACTATTATTTATTTGAAATATACACAAAAATTCAACAATTAATTTTCAGATAATGAATCTAGAGATGAAATACCTATTAAAGTTCAAAGAGCCAAGCGCACAGCATCAGTTTTATTGGTATGCGACACTGACTTAGAAGAACCCGTCAGTTACTATTGGAGCAAACAAGGCGGTACTTTACCGCACTATGTCGACGAGTATAATGTAAGTTTAAATATGACCAGTAAAGTCGTAAGTACTAAAATAAACTTCCTAAACTTTCAGAAACAAATCCAATTGAACTCCATCGGTGCTATCGACGCCGGTACTTATATCTGTTCGGCCACAAGCCAATCTAGAACCATCGACACCCCAATTATTCTAGTTGTAACAGGGATAATTCCTTACTTTACTCAAGCCCCTAACAGCTACATATCTTTACCGACACTCCCTGAAGCCTATCTCCAATTCAGCTTCGATATCTCCTTCAAACCTGAGAACGACCACGGCCTGATAGTCTACAACGGTAATAGAGAAAAAGATAAGGATGGAGACTTTATTTCTTTGGCTTTGGACAATTCTTATCCAGAGTTTAAGTTTAATCTTGGACCTGGAACGACCACAACAACAGTTAGAGCTAGCGAACCGATCACTAAGAGGGAGTGGCATACGATCAAGGTTGTGAGAAACAGAAAACGAGGTAAGCACACATTTGGACATTAAAATAATTTCAATAAACCATGCTTCTAATCTGAAATTCGAATTTTTATTTCTGACATTTTTTTTCTGCGGAAGATATATATTTTTTATTTTGTAATATATTTATTCATACTTTTCGTATCCTTATCCTTGATTGCTGAATGTTTTTACTTTTCAGTTATCCTATTCGTTGATGGTAAAGGTCCCTACATTGGCGAAAATGACGGTAAATACTTCGGTTTGGATTTGAGTGGATCATTATACTTGGGTGGCGTTCCGGATTATAACATTATATCAGAAGAAACTATGATGGACAGAGGATTTGTTGGTTGCATTAGCAAATTCAAAATTGGATACACTTACCAAGACATCCTTCAAGAAGCTCTTAACAGTACCGGACTGACCAACTGCGAGACTTGTACGGAAAGTCGATGTGAAAATCAAGGAGCTTGTCAAGAAGCTTTGACCACAGAAGGGTACACTTGCATCTGTCCAGCAGGATTTAGCGGACCTACGTGTAACAAACGTAAAGGAGAAGCATGCTCACCCTGTAAGTGAATTTATATTATTTGTATTAGGTTATAATTTTCTATTGGAACCTTTTAATAAGAAGACTAAGGAAGGAGCATATCAAAAATCTTAGGTCCACCGCGATGGGCCTCAAATATGGCCGACTTAAATTCCGGTTTATCAGTGCCGTTCTAATTTTATTTAAAAAATGTAAAACTATGATGTAGGGTAGACGTGTGGTAGACTCAATAATATGTTGTTTTATTTGACGTTGTGAATAAATGTTGGTAGTTATTAAAATTGTTACAAAAATATATAATCCTAATAAAAATAGATAAGTTATAATAATTATTTATTAACACAAACACGCAACAAACGCTACAACAAACGCTACTGAAGCAGGTAAATCTGGTAAATCAAATTGACGTATCTAAATTCTTTGACATCTAATCTTTAACAAGTAGTAAATAAAAGCAAAAACGAAAGAAAAAATATATAATTAGTTAATTTAAGTGAATTTCATAAATGATCGGTTTACTACACGTATGTATATTATTAGTCACTTACTAGCGAAGAGTTGTTCCATTATTTCACTCGATTTTTGCCGAGATCTACCGCACGCTACACAACCAACTATTTTAGAGTCTTTTTCGATAAATCGCGATAGTGTCACTGTTAATTTAAGTTCTGCCACAATTTCCATCTAGATTTACTACCTTTATACAACTATCAGTAGTAGAATAAATAATAAATAACATAAAAGAGACTGACAAATCCATAAAATTTCAAATCAAATTAAAATGTGTCAAATGAATCGTCAAACAGAACTGTCAAAGATTCCCACCCTAAAGTCATTTTTCCGCCCACCATGCATGAATACATGGATAGCATTATGCTCCTTCCTTAGTCTTCTTATTCAAAGATACACCTCATTGATGTGCTTACTCCATAGTAAAGTTTATGTTTGTTTTAGATTCTTGTGGAGTTGGTCGATGCGTAGACACTGAGAACGGATTCGAATGTCAGTGCCCTCTAGGCCGCGGAGGCAAATACTGCGAAAAGACAATACAAGTAATGGAACCAGCTTTCAGCAACAACGCCTACATCGCCTACCCACCTCTGAAGCCTTTGAGAAGAACCAAAATCGAGATGAAGATCAAACCTCGTGATACAAATGATGGTGTGTTACTTTACGCTGCCGAAACCAACGAAGGACACGGTGATTTCATTAGTTTGTCTATCAAAGATCGTCATTTGGAATTCAGATTCGACAACGGTCAAGGTAATGAATGCTGCAATAAATGTTTTTTTTTATTTCAAATATATTTCTGTTCTGTATATTAACAAAATAAACTATTTTAGGCCCTTACATCATCAGAAGCGATCACGAAATTGTACCTAACCAATGGTCCGCCGTTCTGGCCATCAAGTCCTTGCTAGATGGCAGAATAGTCGTCGACGGCAGACCGTCCGCACCAACCAAGGTCACCGGCAACTACAAAGCTCTTACCCTACTCACCCCAGTCTACATCGGCGGTTTTGACAAGTACAACGTCAAACTGAACAAGGGCGTCAAAGTTGACGGAGGTTTCAATGGTTGCATCTCCGACATCAACATCTCTGGATTAGACGACGCCATGCTGAAGAACATCACCGACTCTTCTAATGTCGAAGACTGCGCAGGAGATGATGACATCGATAACAACATATATTCGCCGCAGTACGCGCATGAGAATCAATACAAACCGTTGTCTTACGACAGTAAAAAGACAGGATGTTCGGATAATCCCTGCAGAAATAACGCGCCATGTATACCGTTGTCTCCTGTAGATTACAAATGCTCCTGTCCGGCTGGTTTCACAGGTAAAACGTGTGAAGTACCGGTTGATTTGTGTGAAAATCGTCCCTGTCAGCATAGGGGAGTGTGCAGATCCAATAGTACTGGTTTCACTTGCGACTGTCCGCTTGGGTATTCAGGACATACATGTGAACAAAGTAAGTAATGTCCTTTTTTTACTAAATAACATTGAAACGAGGAAGACAGTGAGAAGAACTATAACTATTCTAGTAATAATAATAAGGGCTGGCAAAGGTTAAACTTGGGTCGAGATTTCCGTATGTAAGAAGAGTACAATGCGTTTAATATATTCAATAATTAATGTACTGAACAAAGAGAGATCAGTAAAAACGTTGCCAAACGTATGAAATAAACCGAGAAACTGTGTACATTGCTAAGAGACGTGAAAGGGGATATAGCAGATTCGTCGCGGTCGACCCAATCAGTACTTAAAATTCTCGAGAAGATTGTACATCACGCGTTCAGCTTCACGATTTATTAGGTCTAGGTTGTTTATTTATTAACGAGTTGTTGTAATTTTTCCTATAGCTTGTAAATTTTTAAGGGCCAGTTAGAAACATTTGCACATTTGGTAAAAGTAAGTGGAATTGAGTTGGTGTTCGACAGTGGTCGCGCTATTAGCTATTCAAAAATCGATAACTCGAAATCCGTTAGAAATAATTGATTGTAGTTTTTTTCAAAAACTTTCATAATATTTCTGCTATATTTTCTTCGCAGAGAGTATGTGAAAATCTTTATAAATTGTTTCTAATAATCTTATAAAAATGTTTTTTTTTAATTTTGAATGGAAAAAATATGCCTATCGAATTGTTCTTATTTAAACATCTTGTAAAAGATCCGAACTTCAAAATAAAAAAAAAAGTTTCAATATCTAAAGTAGTTCTTGAGTTATCGCGTGTTATGTGTTAAAAAGTTGAGTTTATAAATTATTGCGACGTTTTCTCGTTATAAAAAAATGGACACCCTAACGATATCCTTATAATTCTATTTCAGATTCTCAGAAACATCTCTAATGATTTTATCTAGTTATCTTTTCGAAAATAAAAGTTTTTTAAAAATAAGCGTTTTGTGATCGTGATTTTACTTTACTTGATATGGAAAGGTGTACCGGAAAAATGTGGCAACGCCGCAACAGCACACCGTCGCATTTTTCTCACTCCGCCTTGATAAGATCCCTATGAGATCTACTTCCACATGTAAATACCGACCCAAAAGTAAGAGTTGCCAGCATGGTATAATTTGTCCAACGAGAAAATGCTTCACATTGAAAGATGTGTCTGTCATTTTAAATGTGAAGAAATTTATTTTGATTTATAAAGAAATAAATTGGTAGATAATAAAATATTCCTTTTTGTTAAAAAGAATAAATTAAATTTAAATATGTTTTTTAGGAACTGAACTAAGAAACGATGCCAACTTCAACGGAAACGGATTTTTGGAGTTCAGTAAATCATTGCTCAGTCATATCGACAACGAACCAGAAACCATAGCTCTAGAATTCTCCACAAACAAATCCGAAGGATTACTTTTCTGGCATGGACAATATCCCCACCAAGACGGTAGAGACCAAGACTACATTTCCTTAGCAGGTATTTTTTGCCTCATATATTAAACACCAATGAAATACTATAATTGGTTTTTATCTTTTAGTGGTCAACGGCTATTTGGAGTATAGCTACGATTTGGGAGAAGGTCCAGCCATAATAAGGGTCTCTCAAATAAGAGTTGACGATGGCCAACGTCACAGTGTTATCCTGAAACGACATGGAAGATCAGGATCGATAGACGTCGATCATTTGTATACAGAAGAAGGAGAGTCTGAAGGATATACTTCTCACCTATCTACCAATGGTAACTGTTGTTTATATATTATCTACACATGTCATATACTGCGCATTGTCTCGGCATATGATGCGCAGCTACTGTTTATTATTATTAGTATCAAATTTGTTCCGTTTGGCTGATACATGCTCTATAAACTGTACTAACGCTACATTATTTTTTACAGGTAACATATACCTTGGAGGCGCTCCGAACATCAGCCTTTTGACAGGCAACAGATTCAGTAAAGGATTTGACGGTTGCATACACGGTTTCGAGATTCAACAGTCCAAAACGATAGATCTGGGAGTTAAAGCCATTAACGGACTGAACGTTAAGCCTTGCTCTAGGTAAGAATTTTATAAAAAAATATTTCTATAATTATGACTTTTTTGACTTTAACATTAAAGCTAACATTGTAGAGGTGTTGGTTGTTTGAACAACACTAAATAATAATAAATTTGTTGATATTATAGGGAGTCTAGTGACGAATATGTTCCACCAGCTTAATATATAACCTTTATATTTTATTGGTGAGTCTATGGTTTAAATTTTATAAAAAGGGGAATAATACATCATCTGTATATATCAGCTTCTTAATTCAATATACCTAAGAAATAATAAATTAAATTTCAAGTTAAAAAATATTCCTGCTTAAAATTCTTTATAATCTTAATCATGAAGTTGTCATACTACTAAAGAGTTATTATTAAGTGATACAATGAATGGTGAGAATCACGACTACAACTATTGTTACTATAAATTCAACATTCAATATACCTGTATAAATCCTCACCAACGAATCAAGGATTTTAATTCGTATGACACTAAAAAATGACAGAAATCTAACTGTTTTCACATTAATTGGTATACTTCTGGAGTTCTTGTCTAGCTTATCGTACTAACCTATTTACATTTCGCATGCTGCTTTTCCTCTAACAAAGACTACGATGGATTCCGTCCTCGCTGATATTCACCGACGTCGAAGACTTCGACGAATTCGTCGAACCTCCCCCCGTTAACATAATTCATCCGAAACCCACTAGTTTTGCTCAAACTGTCCACCATATTGACCGTGCCTACGTCCTAGCGATCGTTTCGTTGTCCATTGAATTGATATATACGAATTGTTGACCATGTGTATATTATATAAAATAGGTTTTAAAATGAATATCGATGCAATAATGTTTTTAAGAGAATAATTTAGGCGATATTGAAGATTATATATATATTTATGCTTTTGTTTCTGTAAGAATATCACGGTTAACAAAAATTGGGAAAATGGAAAAATGTTTTAGTATATAGTCTATGGGCAGCTATTGACGTTAAAACTAACTATTTTGGGGCTAATATACCTTGAGTATCGCCAGTCTTCTTAGTCAGTAGTCTTCTTCAGAGTTCGGTTTGGACTTCCATAGATTTGAATTTTAGGGAACTTTATTATTTGACTGCAACAAAGAAAAAAAAAGAAATAAAAATAAATTACCACCAGTAATGCCATTATGGGCTTTCATATCATAGCAACAAGCTGTTGCTAAATACTCTGTTAATTTTAATGATATTTTTTAGACATTGTGAATGATTGTAAATTCGTAAGTGTAAAGTATAATTGAAACCACTAATTTATTCCACTAATTTCGAGAATTCCACTAATTTCTGAATGAAGCTTCAAGCTTTAGTGGTCAAAAAATCGTCAATTAGTGATATTTTTACAGAACAATAGGCTGAACTACAAAATGTTATACCAATATTACTATTTATAAAAATTAAAGTATACATATCAAAAAAAAACTTAAATAAATAAATAAGAATATTCACAATATGTTGGACAGTATTTTGACGAGTGAAAATAAATACCATTAAATAAGTAAGATACTGAAACTACTGTATACTTAAATTAAATTTATTTGTGATAATCAGTATTCTATGTACATATATTATATAATTAAGCTAACTTTAAATATTTTACTACATTTTAATAACAATGACAGACTGATGCTTTTATTTTATCGAAACGCTTGCTATTTTTGGATATATTTTCTATAGGTAAGATAGATTCGTTACAGAATTAAGTTCATTTATAGATACACTCATTCATCTTTCATTTCTAAAACATCTTAAGTGTATATCCATGTTGTTTTAATTAAGTTTATTTTTATTTTTCAGTTTCTCTGATATCGACAACAACATCTGGAACGATTAGGAAAATTAAAGAGCTAGAGTTTTAGATGTAACTCAAAAAAGTCAGTGATAGTTACGTCAATTCTTATATTATTATTTTGTCCATTTTTAAAGTGTTCACTCTACTATTGTGTTCATTTTTTTTTAAATAAGAGATCTTTTTTCGTTTGATTTTCGTCAAAACCTTATTTAATAGATATTTTTTTATATTAGTATATATTTTTTCAAACGTTAGCTGACTGTTTTTTCTATTTTTTTTCGCTTTATTTGTCTTGTTTCATCTACTTCTTCTCGCGCTTTTTGCTTATATCCGATTCGTACGTATATATTGTATTTTAAATAATTTAATATTATAATTTAAATACTGCCATTTTTTTCTGATCGTTTACTACTTTTTTATACAATCTTTTTTTATATATATATGTACGTTATAGTTTTCCTTAAGTAAGCAACAACTGTATAGTAAGAAAATTGTGCCATTTGTAGAGTCTAGATAGGATTCAGGAAGAAATACGGTCCACTTGTATAATTTCTCGATTGATAAATAGTTATTAAAATAGATTTAATTTATATGGTGCTATTAACAAATGTATTACGCTAAAAAGTATTTCAACTTATCCATTTTGTAGGTAATCAATCATTGATGAATTAGTTAATAATAATAATAATTACGATAATATCATTTTTTCAATTATTTTTGAAAAGCTTTTAATGTGATTATACGAAATGAAACATAAACGTATCAACTATGGTGATTAACAAAAACATATATAAAGTTAGAGTATAAGATATATATAAAATTTTATAAATGCTTTTGTTTTCATTGATTTAAATGAAGAAGGAAGCTTTTAAACGAAGGAGGTGGGTGCTCTCGAAGCTTCTTTTTATGCTACAAATCTTGTTGTTTTTTAAATTAACTAATTATATTTGAAGTGCATTTTCAATAACAAGAGACAATAAATAATTAATGTATGTAATATGGTGTTTTATTTTTCCTTGTCAAAGAAAGGTTGAATGACGTATAATATTTACTGCTTTTATATAATACAGATAGTTGCAGATTTCATACTAAGGGCTGGCAAAGGTTAGTTTTGGGTTGAGATTTCCGTATGTAAGAAGAGTATAATGCGTTTATAATGTACTGAACAAAGAGAGAAAAGTAAACACGTTGCCAAACGTATGAAATAAACCGAGAAACTGTGCACATTGCTAAGACACGTGGAAGGAGATATAGCAGATTTGTCGCGGTCGACCGGTCGACCCAATCAGGACCTTTTTAATCGTACTTAAAATTCTAGGGAAAGGTGTCCATCATGCGTAATTTGCCCTATAGCTTTAAAAATTTTAAGTACAAGTTACAAACACTTGCATTTTGTTGGTGTTCGAGTGTGGTCACGCTATTAGACCTCTGTTTTCAAAAATCGATATCTCAAAATCCATTAGAAATAATTGATTGTAAATAATAATTGTTAATATTTCTGCTATATTTTCTTCACAGACAGTATGTGAAAATCTTTATAAATAAAAAAGTTACACGATTGCTGAAAATTGATATGCAATAAAAGTAAATGGATGGGTTGTTTAAAATTATTGAATGGAAAAAAACAAGCCTATCGATTTTTTTTTATTTAAACGTCTTGTAAAAGATCCGATCTTCAAAATAAAAAACAAGTTTTAATATCTAAATTGGTTCTTAAATTATGGCGTATAATGTGTCAAAAATTTGAGTTTTTAAATTATCGCGATTACTTAAGTTTTCTCGTTAGATAAAAATGGATACCTTAATGATATCCTTATAATTCCATTTCAGATGCTCAGAAAGATACCTAATGATTTTATCTAGTTATCTTTTCGAAAAAAAGTCTTTTAAAAATAAGCGGTTTGCGATCGTGATTTTACTTTACTTGATAGGGAAAGCGTACCGGAGAAATGTGGCAACGCTGCAACAGCACACCGTTGCATTTCTCTCACTCCGACTTAATAAGATCCCTATGCGATTTACTTCCACACACATGTAAATACCGACCCAAAAGTAACAGTTGCCAGCACGGTATATATTTTGAAAATTGTAGCATTTTTTCAACGCTTCACTTATAATGATGGCGTCCTAAATCGTATTAAATGAATACGATTTATAAGTGGTTGCCATAATATAGTCAAAATTATCATAATTGGATTGTTAAAGAATATTTAGCTTTAGTTATTATTGTTTAATCCAAAAACGCTTCCTTGTAGACAATCCAGGGATGGCACTTTATAACGAAATAGCGATCGGTAGCAATGAAGAATATTGTCGCTTGCCGTTTAGTTTGTACGGCCAAGGTCAGTATTCTGCATCGCTACTGATCGCTATTTAGTTAAAGAGTTCCAGCCCAGGCTTTCGACCACTTAATGTTGTGCTGTTTAATTTTTATTTATATCTACAGAAAAATTTACAGATATTAATAATTAAAGTCCGCTGCAAATCAGCGACAGATACAGTAGACATTATAGAATAGAAATTCAAAAGGAAAGAGTAGGAAAATAGTATATTAAATCTAAAAAGATCTTGATTCTATCAAAATATAAAGAAAAATAGAGAAAACAAATAACAACTGGTCTCAATCATTCCAGATCATTTAGTAAATCAATCATCTTACTACAAGACTGACAAAAAAACTCACTACAGTGTTAGGCGGTACGAAGTTAACCAGCCGGGTCAGCATTTATCAATAAAATTCTAAAAATAGAAAAATATAATAAATAATAACCGCATACTAAAAACACCCGCCACTGGTCCTCTACAAAACTCTCCCTCGCCTCTCGAAGGATCATCGGTACGATGGTGGGTACCATAGAGAAATATAAAATAAAAGAGTTGTCATTTCCATAGTCAAAAGTAGGCAACACGTTTAACGAGGATCGATTGTAGCGCACCCTTGAGCCCTAACTGAACTAATCGAAATATGACAGACCTTATCGGTAAAATAGGTATCTGCATTGCCTACCACAAAAAAGGCGGGCTGTTTAAATATGAATATAAAATTTTATGTATTTTTTAAAATATTACGAAATTAAAACTGCAAAAATATAACGAAAGTTTATTTTTAAAAACGGAATATTTGAAAAGTATAAACTATTGTAGACTTTTCAAATGCTTACAGTTAAATGCTAAATTAAATTTGATAATATAAAACATATATGCTGAATTAACTTCGAGGGGTAAACTCCTGATGAATTTCTGTACACTAATGCCAAGGTAATGCCAAATAATTTAGTACTAATACCAATAATGCCACGAAAATGCCAACATCTTGTACACCACCAAAATACACCAGCGATTTACCCTTCGATTTACCTATAGTATTATAAAACGTATTTAACAACGCCACTAACAAAGCATATAAGATCGCAGGGTTTGCAATCTATGCTATTATAACAGATAAAGATTTAAATAAGATATCATCAAAAATTAATTCACCTTTAAGTTGGATTTATAAACTCAGCAGTCAGCAGTTGAAGTTCAGTTGATGTAGCAAATGTTCAACACTATTAAATGAAGGCGCAAATTTATAGTCAGTTCGTTTTACGTTCACAGAGTTCAGAGATGGGCAATGTCTTTACATATCGAACTTGCTTTCCATGATACCCTTTCCTGGATCGTGTTCAAATCACATCATCGGCTGAACAAAATATTACATGATGATGGCAAAACACAGCACAAAATATAAAGTTCAAATCATAGAGAAATATAAGGTCTCTCGTTCCTCGGGAAATAAAACTTCGTCCATAATTTCTGTACGCACAAACACAACACAAACAAACAAAGTTTATGCTACACAAAATAATAACAAAATTCCAAAATTCAAAAAACAAAATTGTAAACAATTGCAAAATACAAACAATTTGCTGTCATGTCACTTGTCATTCTTGTAATGACACGTGACAGGTAGCAGGTGGCGACGCTTTGGAGCCCTAACTGAACTATGCAACATTATGGCCAAGTTAGACAACCTTTCAAACACTCTTTTATTTTAGTTACTTTATGGTGGGTACCATGTGTCGAACGAAGGTGCATATCGCATATCGTACTGCTTGCTCGCACAGACTCCCGTCCCGGCAAAAATCGTACCGACAAACAGCAACACAGCCCGAGGCGATAGTACTATTATTCTCGAGGAACGGTGGGGTGTAGAGGACAGTGATAGTCCATTAACTTTAGACTTTCAAGAAAAAATTAAAGATTTGCACGGGGTTAAGCGGGCCACTCACGATACTAGGCCGCAGTACGATTATGTTGGATACGACAAAATCGGACGACAATTGACAATATTGTATCGTGTGTGTGCACAATTGCACAACCGACCGAGTTGAATTTTATTGGATCGCAGTTCGAAACTTTTAACTGCTGCAGTAAAATCGTGCCGATTTCTGTAAAGATGTCTAAATATTCCCAGCAATTTTTAATTAAGTTTTTTGAAATCTACCGAAGTTTTACGTGTCTTTGGAAAGTTAAAGCCCCAGAGTATCATGATCGTGTAGTAAGAAAACGGGCAATGTGTACTCTAGTTGCAAAATTCAAAGAAGTGGAGCCCATATTCGTATCTTTTCTTCTAATGAAGGGTACAACTAAATTCAGTAACTCTAAATATGAGTTTTCGTCCATTCGTAGATAATTACGCCAATCATCTGGGTACAGCCGTAATTCTTCGAGTAAATTAATATGTGAATATGTGGATCTTTTTAGTAACCATTCCTTACGCCACCACCTTCTATTACAATATCGTTTCTTGCGTTTTTCAATTATTTGCACTGCACATACTGCATCTGTTGCTAACAAAATATCTTCTTCGCTTTCCGAAATTTTTGCTTCAACAACACTTTTAAACTAAACGTTTGATCGTGAGTGAGCGTTGTCAATTTGCTGCAAAATTGTTCAATTTTGTTATACGATTCTGTTGTACGGCGCCGTAGTATCGTGAGTGGCCCGCTTTAGTTCCTGTTTGAGTAGTAATTTGAGTACGACACAGTTTTGTCAATAAAGTTCTTACGTAAAGCATCCGCCATCTCGGCTTTTGTGTAAAATTTGTAGAGAATTAAATAAAATCTACGCTGGTTGTTCAACAGAAATTCCTAAAACATAAAAAAAATTGTCGCTAACTTAAAAAAAACATAAATTGGAGGTACAAGACAAAGCTCTATCTAAAAAGGAAGGTTTTTGCAAATTTAAGATTTGTTAACATTCACATAAGATTGGTGAGCATGGCACATAAGGTTTGTGAGCATTATCAGCAGATGATTAAAACTCGAGTTTTGAATATTAATATATAAACAAGAGTTTATACGCAAAAGAATAAATCAAACAGTCTTTTACAAGTTTCTTGTTATGTTGTAAATGTAGCGTTCAGTTTTTCACGATTTAGGGCCCCATATTAGGATAACAATCTGTTAACAAAAAATATCTATACCTCTGTGGCGGATTCATCTCTCCAAAAAAGTTCTATGGGTATTTCGCCACTGTAAGAAAATCTACAAAATAAAATAGTTATTTTTTATAAACACTGCTGCGTTAATCCAACGGAGACTTGTTAATAAACAAATAAGCCTTTATGATCTTACCTGGAACATTTAAGGGTTGTAGATTTTAGGGTTGTAACATAAAAACGATTTTTTAAGAAAGGGTGACTTACAAATCTAAGATTTGCCAGAATTCATGAGACCCAGGGTACAGAGTAGATTTTAATAATGCAAACATCTTAATGAAAGAAGTGATAGCCTCTAAAAGAAAAATAAAAGAGTAAAAAAATACCGTGGTTAAAGATCAAAAGTTGTAGTCATTTCCGGTGAAACAGGAAGTGACCGAAAAGAAGTGAATGCATTAATAAATCCTAATTTATGTCATATACTAACATACCAAATCTCGTTTTTTTAACTAAAAAAATAAAAAAAAGTTATAGGTGTGAGCCACTTTTGAGACGCACCCGTATACTTTCCGAAACGTTAAGCATTTTTTTGTCCGTTAGGCAAATTTGTTTATTAGTAAACCACTGCTGACAATTAGTCTCCGTTGGATGTTAACAAAAAATAACTATTTTATTTTGTAGATTTTCTTACAGTGGCGAAATACCTATAGGACTTTTTCGGAGAAATCTATTAACATTTAAAGTGTTAATAGAATCTCCGCCAGAAGCCTCAACATTGTTTCGTCGAATTTCACCTAAAGCTGTTGGGCTAAGAGGAGCGATGCAGAACAACAGCCGCGGCGCTGCGAGGGTACCGCCATCTCAGTACTGAACGGACGACTGCACGTTCGCGACCACGGTGGTACCGGCGAAAGATTGCCGGCGGACGACTGGAAAAAATCACGAGATTTTCAGCGGAATTTTATGTTGTACTCGTGCTGGCTTTGTTCGAGAGTTATTGAGTTGTTCGGTTCGAGGAAGTTGAGGTTCACGCTCGGCTACAAGCTGTGTTTTGCAGTTATACTTGGATTACACATTGTTTCTGATTGGATTTTTCGTTCACGATGGTAAGATATTGCAAAATTTAATGCTAAATTTATGAAAGTATTTAGGAGAATGATCAAAATCAATTATTGCCTTAAAAAAGTTGAAGTGAAACTTTAAGAAGAATATAAATTTTTAACTCACCCAAGTGTTGAGCCTTCAATAATTTGTCCAGTGATCTCTAGGCTTCCGGTACTCCAATGTTGTTTTATCGATATTAGTAGTCTTCCAGTTGTTTCAGAAGATTTGCTTACTGTAAATTTATAAACATCATCTATGGAACCTTAGAGTAATAATATATTTAGAACTAAATTGGTAACCACTAAATGCATAAGGGATTAAGGGACTATATTACGCGGATACTACAAGTTGAATCTTGTAGTATCTTCACTGTATTCAGAAGATGAACTTGCAATGCGTATTTAGTTGTTATTATTAAAATACATTTTACAATAGCATTTTTAGCAATTTTCTGTTAGCGAAAAATAATAAATGCATCATTATTCAGTCTTTGGTTGCACTAAAATACCTTGGGTTACAATGTACCTAGTACCGTTTTGATTGAAAGAATCTATTCCTCTAATCAACGCTAGTACATTGTAATATGGATACAATATTCGTATGCATATACAATATCTGGATTACATTATTTATGAACAGCAAATTATCTGTGTAAAAACTCTGAAAGTCAAGCTGTTTTGCTTGAGATACCAAATTATAACTAATAAAAAATTAAGTGGATACTTATCAAACAGAAGACTAATCTCACAGCTTCCAACATGTTAGCCAATGTTGAACATGAATATTGTAAGTATTCGTGTACTTGTAAGTACTACGAACAGCGTGCAGCTTAACACTTTAAATTAAATTCAAAATGATCTTTGGAGTTAAGTCAGTATATTACGCGTACTGATTTTTTTTCATGGTTTTGCAATTACATCCTTATTTTACTTTAGCTAATACTTTAATAAATATCAACATTTAACATTACTATTATTTTACTGAAACCGATCCTTACTGTAATTTATCAAGCTAGTAAAACCAAGGGAATACCGTATATACCGGGTGCGTCTCAAAAGTGGTTCACCCCTATAACTTTTTTATTTTTTCAGATAAAACAATAAGATTTGGTATGTTAGTAAATGACATAAATTGGGATTGATTGGCATATTCATCTTTTTTTGGGTCACTTCCAGTTTCACCGGAAATGACTACAACTTTTGATTTTTAAATGGTATCCTCGTTATTTTTTTGCTTTATTCGATAAAAAATGACACACTAACATATCATATTTACTTTGACATTTACGCATATGGCTTATTTGAAATTGTAGCATGCGGTTCATAACGACAATTTGACTCGAAATACCCAGTGTGTGGCATCAAATTATTCGTATAAAAATGCCTTTTCCAAATATGCTAATGAGCCACCCTCGTTCCATTTAAAAAAATTGAGATATGACTAAAAATACGATTTGGGCATTTTTTAACCGGCCAGGACAAGCCACTAAAACATTAAATGATCAAATCTATTTTTCCAAGGCTCCTTGATTAAAAATTGGTGTTTTTAACACAGCCATGGCACTCTAGATTGAAATTTGAAATACAATTTTGTTTTAAGCGAAAATGTCAAAAGTTGGCATATGATATGTCATTCGATTCAGTGTCATTTTCTATCGAATAAAAAAAAAAAAAATTCTGAGGGTGCCATTTAAAAATCAAAAGTTGTAGTCATTTCCAGTGAAACCGGAAGTGGCCGAAAACAATTGAATACTTCAATCAATCCTAAATTTAGGTTATATACTAACATACCAATTCTCGTTTTTTTATCTGAAAAAATAAAAAAGTTATAGGGGTGAGCCACTTTTGAGACGCACCCTGTATAGGAATATAGAAGTCATCGATTGTCATTTCCAAGCCAACTTAATGCAGTTTTTTCGACCATACCAGAGTTATTACTTGAGATAATTATTCAAAAAGAGACATAAACTTTGAAACTGCTTTTTTAAATCGTTTGAAAATTACATATATAATTAAATTTCACTTGTTTCCTTTAACAAAATAATGGAATTATTTTTTTCGAGCCATTGTCAAGTTTATTTCTTAAAACATAGAATATATACTTGAACACATGTCCTGTACTTTTAGAATTCAGAACCTGCATAACGTTTTATTTCGCTTTCTGATTGTTCTAAGATTGTAGTTGAAAGTTATATTTTTCAATACATAATTAACTTGACATTTTAACATACCTGTCCTTTAATACATAATACATTCCACTTTCCTTTGAATATAAAACGGTTTAGTTTTTAACTTCCTTTGTAATAAAAAGAACTAAACCCTTCAGTATAAAGTAGATATACCTACAGATTATGTTAAAGGGCATGTTGTCTAGAATATAATAATTATTCTAAATTTTTATTACAAATTTTTCTTATAAAATTTAGAAAATTATCTGAATCTTTTTTTTATTGCTACATTAGACTCATTGGTGAGATGGTGAGTGAGACAGACAGCTGTACAAATATCAGAAAAATCGTTATAAAGCAACTGAATAACATACAATTATCGCCGACGTCATTCTAAACATACAAATCACCACATGCCACTTTTAGTAATTATCATGTAATAAACAATATGGACGCAATTTTATATAAACAATTTTCTGAAAATACGTATACTAAATTTTATGATATTATACTAAGATAAAAACATAGTTTATAAAGAAACTTCTTTAACATCGGATGTTTTGAGGATGGATGAAGATGCAATTGGCCCTTCCTTTCTTTCTCCTGATCAAACTGATGAACATATTGTTCCATATTATGGAGATAATTTAATCATTACGAGTGTTTTTCATACAATTTGTGATCTTTAGTTAGAATTTTTAGAATTTAGAATAAGTGGGAGGGGATTTAATCACTGCGACCTTACAGATCTATTGTGTCCCCCTTTCTAGAGTTCAATCTCATCATACAGTCCCAGGGCTTTGACAAAAGCCAGTATCTGGGACGGTTTTACAGAGGGTAGTTCTCCATCTCCAATATCAGTCGTACCAAAGTTCATGGCACGAATGGTTGTCATCTCGACGCACTCAGTGATGGTGTTTCCCCATTTTCCCCACAGAATCTGCATTCGCCGTTTCTTCTTTTCAATCTACTGAGGTGTTTATTGAGGAGACAGTGTCCTGTTAAAAACCCCGTGACAATCCGAAGACTGTTCTTACTTAAATCCAGGAACATCTTTGATTTTTCTTGGTCGTAAGCCCTCAGAAACTTCATCGAGTGTCTTAGACCGTTGCAAGATTCCCATTCCAGGTTGCGGATGGAGTCTTCCAAGTTCTTGAGTTCCGCCTTTAGTTGGTTACCACTTGGGAAGCAGAACGGTTCTGGTCCAGTTAATGGAGTTCTAGCTAGATGATTTGCTTTTTCATTGCCTTCTATCCCTTGGTGAGCAGGCACCCAGAGTAGGAGGACTTTGTTTTATTTGCCTAATTTATTCAGCTTCTCTATGCATTATTTGACCAGTTTCGAATTGATTGATACTGTGTTGATCGCTTTTAACGCTGCTTGACTATCAGATAAGATGGCTATTTCTTGTTTCCGATAGTTCTTATCTAAAATAAGTTGTATGCATCTTTCGATAGCGTAGATTTCTGCCTGTAGGATGCTAGGGTAGGTGCCCATTGGTTCAGAGAATTTAGTTCTCGGCCCAAATACTCCGATTCCTGTTCCCGCATTGGTTTTGGAAGCATCAGTATACCAAGTTATGGTATGGTCTTTTAACTGCTGAGCACACGTTTCTCTCTTCCACTCTTTTTATTGCTCAGTACTACATTGAGATGTTTCTGAAAGTTGTACACGTACTGGGAGTTGCATTATCTTTAGTTAATTGAGTTATATTCTATTAAAGAGATATTGAAAATAATTTTAGAATCATAACACTGATACGAAACTACGATGCTTTTCCTGTATAGGTAAATTAATATTGATAAACAGTTATTTAAGCAATTTATTGATGTCACGAGATTGTATATATTGAAATTAATATCCATACACGTCCGTAATTGATATAAACAGAAATGGTGTTAGGCTGTGGTAAATTTATCTTTTAAGTCGTTAATGTGTGAAATTTCATAAGAAACTGACTTTCGAGGTTTAATTCTAAGAAGTGTGACAAAATTAAAACGGTATAAAACCTGTATTAACAGCTGTAATCGTGAAAAATATACGGAGAACATTTTGTTACTATAAATTTTTAACTACATAATATATTAAAATATGCTATTTAATCCTGCAGATCACTAATGAATTTTGATAAAGCATCTAAGTCTAAGTTCTTTGAACGTAAGATATCCTACTGATTTTCAAAATTAAAGCAATTAAGTACAATTAGTTCTACCCGTTCAAGATGGCCGTTGATTCGACCAAAATGATATGGTGAAACGAAAAGTCACTCTTGTATGACGATAGGGTGATACTCAGTTTATATTTCGAGATATAAAAAAGATTTTACTTTTCAGCGATTAACTGTAAAAATTTCGACCCAGAAATGTCCAATCTCTTGAAATCCTTGTCGCATTAATGTTACTTTAGTAGAGTGCTATAATATATTTTGTGTGTAGTTTCTTGAATTATTACAAATTTTTTGTTTTGTAGTATGCAGAAAGTGGTATTTTTATTTTGGGCAGTAAGAAGTTTTGTTTTTATGCTTTTTCTTCTTTAATTTTTTTTTTAAGTTTTTCAAATAATTTGTAGTTGTATAATCCTTGTCAATAATATTCTTATTAACGAGGATTGTGAATATTTAAATAATATTTTCATTGTCAATGTTTCTTTTATTCCTATTATTATAAATTTTTAAAGAAACGTCTCTTTTTATAATTTTACATTCTTACCTTGCAACAACTGCGGGACGAAGAATTCTAGTCGTTTACCCCTCCAAACACTCACACTATGTAATGTCGCTTAACTTCGATGATCGATCAGGAACCGGCATTTCGTTTAAATAGGCATCGGTCGTTGCTCTGTAAAAATAAGTTTAAATAACCTTTAATATTATATTTTTAATGTTCTTTTATCATTTAGAAAAATTGCAAAGAGAATTTGAAACATTTTAACTCTGTTGATGTGTTTCAAGGTTATATTTTGTTAAGATAGTATTTTGTATTTTGTTTAGAAAAGGTCAGCATATCATCAAGAATTCTTAAATTTGCAATAGATGCTGTACTGGTAGTAGGAATTAAAAGACAGAGTTTAAACAAAAGTAACGAAAATTATAGAATAAAACGTCAATGATAGCATAATAAATAAATAATATAGGAGTGTTCTGAATAGGCTTCATTTAATCATAATCAAATATAGTCTCTGACAGACCTACCTAATGAACTTAATATGGAGTTGATTTAATCATTACCAATGCTTTTCATGCTGTGATGTCTAGTTAATTGAATTATGTTCTATTAGAGATATTATTGCTATAATAATTTTGGAAATATATTACCGATTACGAAACTATGATTTTTCTTTTACATGTAAATTAATATTGATAGTTTTCAGTCATTTAATTTATATTATATATTAATAACTTTGTAATTGATATTGAAAAGAAAAAATGGTGTTAGGCTGTCGTGGTAAATTTGTCTTTCAAGTTGTTTTAATGTGTGAAATTTCATAAGAAACTGGCTTTCGAGGTTTAATTCCAAGAAGTGTGACAAAATAAAACGGTATAAAATGGTATAAACCCCACTTAGATGTCTTTGGTATAAACCCTATATTAACAACTGTAATGGTAAAAAATTTAGGAGAAAATTATGTTACTCTAAATTCTTAAAAATAATATATTAAAATCGAGATTAAAATATAACTATATTATTTCATCTTATTCCAAACTTTTTCGTTATTTATATACAAGGTGTCCCAGAAATAAGTGCAAGTATTTTAATTGGTAGTATAGTTCAATCCTAGAAACACGCCTATGAGGTTTTTTTAGCGAAATTTTTTTTTGAAAATTCGGAATTTTTTGAAAAAAATTTTTGGATTTTTTTTTCAGTTTTTAGTTAAAAAGTAGAACGGTTATAGGGATGAGCCATTTTTGAGAGGTTTTGTTTATTGGCGCAAGATTACTGTAATAAACCCGCCCACAAAAATTTACACAAAACATGGACAAAAGATACAACATTGACCATTATTTAACTCTTTTGTTAAAAGATGTTAAAATATTGGCAAATACTTATACAACGAGTAAATAAAAATTTCATATGGTTACAACAATTTAACACTTCTCCAAAATAAATTTAAGAAACCTACTAAAAAATCTCAACAAAACATGGCTATTTCCGTCGATTCGCTACAACTCTCCTTGACTTTATGTCATGTTATGCAAAAACCTGATTAATTCATTGGCAAATTCGCTTATTTTGTCGCGTTCTTGAACCGGTTCGAGCTTGCGTAACGGTTAAACTATATTTTTAGCAATAATATTAAGAATTATTGTGTGCATTTGTTAACGATACCACACGCATTTCGTTTTGTTGAAACAATTACGCCAGTTATCGTGAAAACGATTAATAATGTTTTTATGGGACTGATAACGAGTAGAAGGCGTAAATTTGCGGAACTTTATGCAATTGGTTAGTGTTAATTATACACAGACGCACAAAAACATATATCAAAAGTTTTGTAATAACAATAACACTTATTTTTCTATGAAACAAAATGGTACAAAATGGTTATTAATGAAATAAAATATATAGGGTGTTCTGAACTGTATTGCGGAAACTTCAGCAGCATATTCTGTAGATAAAAATAGGTAAGAAAGTTCGTATAAATGTATATCCTAAAATCCCTAGTTTCGGAGATACAGGGTGTAGAAGTTTCATTTTATTTCGATTTTTTCCAGATAATTTCTGAAGTAACGTGAATATTTGGATGAAAATTGGTGTCTGGAAGTTTTTTGACATGAGAAATGTTATTTTGATGTCAATATGACTCCTACTTGTAGAGGGCGCAACCTATATACATATATTTTAAACTGGTTTGAAGGTAATAACTTTTTGTCTGTACCTGTATAATACTACTGAGTAAAAAATATACATTTACGACGTTTTTTACGTAAAAAATGTCTCTTAGTAAAAATCGCTACGCGTAATGGTTCTGGAGATATTTGGAGTCGAAATGATCAAGACCTGTCTTCAATCACATAAACTAAACATGCTGACTAAATAGCTATTAGAATGAAATCATAAATTTGAAATGTTTTTGTGCCAAAAGTCCTACAGAAACTGTTTTATCAAAATTTTTCTCATCATTAATTAAAAAAAATGCCCAAATTTACCATTTCAGTTAAATAACTATCTACTCTGTTTTGTTTTAGGTTTATTTTTTGTCAATAATGACATGTATTGACCAATTTTACCAAGAGACATTTTTTACGTAAAAAATCACTAAAATGTATATTTTTTCACCCGGTAGTTTTATACAGATACAGAGAAAAAGTGATTACTCTTCAAAACAGTTAAAACACATGTAGGTGTCGCTCCCTACAAATAAGAGTCATATTGACATCAAAATCAAGTTTCTCATATCAAAATTCTCCCAGACACCAATTTTCATCTAAATATTGACGTTACTTCAGAAATTATTAGGAAAAAATCGTAATAAAAATGAAAGTTCAACATCCTGTATCTGCGAAACTAAACATTTTAGGACATAGGTACATTTATACGAACTTTTTTACTTACTTTTATCTATTCAATAAGCTGCCGCAGTATCCGGAATACAGTTCGGACCACCCTGTATATCTACGAGACGCGTATATTATATAATTTTATATTATTATTGGCGCCTTCTTAAGTCTTCTTCAACATTTTTCATCCCCTTCTCCCTTTTCCATCTGAGGTTCGCAGTCTACCCCTCCTTCTCTTTCCACCAATTTCACGTCTCATTATCATTTTAGGAACTCTTGTTTTAGCCATTCTTTCAATATGTCCCAGACAGCTATCTCAATCTTTGTGCTCTTGCTACTACCGTTATACTCGGTGCCCGATATAGTTGCTTTAATTCTTCATTTGTTCTTCTGGTCCATATGTTGTCTATCTTCTTTCCTTCAAACATTTTCCTCGATATTTTCTTTTCCCAAACTTCTAGCCTCAAATTTTCCGTTGCATTGAACGTCCACGTTTTACATGCATATAGTAGATACTATTGGTCGTATCATTGTTTGGTATATTCAGACTTCTTCTAGAGAAGATGTTCTTGCTCTTAATAATTATCTGTAGTGCCTTTTCACAACTTTATCACAACCTTTTCACAACCTTTTCACAACCTTTTCACAACCTTTTCACATCTATTTCCTGTCATTATTCTTGACAAGTACGAAACAAAGTGTTTTATTGCTTTTAGAATATTCGCCCTTATAAGGTCTATACATTTTTACATAATACGCTCAAACTAATTCTGGAGACATTTTTTCTACTCTCAAGTTGATATCGAAGAAACATGGTTTTGAAAGTCTTCAACAGCTTCTTGATGTATTTAAAATCGCTATCCGCGCATCTTTTGATAGTGAGAACAAGAAAAAGTCATTAGGCGATAAATCGGGTGAATACGGGCAATGAGACATTAATTCGATGTGTCTCCTTCAAATATTCAGTTGTTTGACGTGCTTTATGGGAGCTGGCATTGTCATGATGAAGAATTTCTGTTCTTAAATCTGATCTCATTCTAGCAATATGCTCTTCCAGTGGCGGCGTATAGTTCAATATTTTGCACGGGAGGGCCTCCCCCAAAAATGACTTCTTTTCGGCTATTAAATCATTAATCGAATATTTTCTGTCAATATTTCCTCAAAAAATATTGTGATATTCTATATTCATAAAAATTATCAGAGAGATGGTTTTTATATCAATGTTTATTCTTATTGTTTTATATTACTAATAATAACATCCTATTAGATATGCCTGACATGACCATTCCGTTCATTATTTAATTACACTTTGGAATCTCGATCGACCAAAAGATAACCAGAACAAAAAAGTAAAAAATAAAGAAAATAGACGCACCTCCTACAGTATTGTGGTATTATTCTTTTCTTTTGATTGTGCTCGTGAATGGAATGATTAAAAACTATTTTTCGTCGATAACATTTGACCGTCTTTATTGTTATATCACGTCGCATAGCTAGCTAGGTTAGTAGTGGTTACACGAATAGAACGTACGTAGTGACATATAAATAATTTAGCATTACAATAGACAGTAGTTATAGTTAACCGTGTTCGGGTGATGCTGAAAACTGATTTCGGTAAGTAAATTATTTTGTTTGATATAATCATAAAAAATAGTATTACAAAAATGTTAAACCTATAGAGAAGAGGGAGAACATGGCGGCTGCGTATAAGTAGCTATGTAAATCCTATGTATATAATAGAGGTTTCTTAATAAATGCAATTTAATATTAATTTAATTTATTAGTTTTTAAACGAAGTTTCAATGAAATTCGATTTTTTACGTATAATATTTTTAAGTCGACAGGCTGGTTATAAATAGGCTGTGCTCTATTTTTTTGTCATTGTTTCTTCTCAGTGCCGTATTGAAATATTGTGGAGACGTCAATTTATATTAAAGTTTAGATATTTTGATTGTTACTTGCAGTTAGGGTTACCAGATGAAAACTTGTCTAACCTTTGGCAAACCTTCCCAAAAATCCGGACGTCATAATTTTTTAGCGATATAAGAGCAAAAATAGTACTTATATTGTTTTATTAGGAGTAAAAATGATACTTTTTGTGGCCAGGCTGTATATATTCAAATAATATAAAAAGATTACTCGTTGAATTTCACACTTTATGTCAGTTTAATAATATATTTTCGTACTTTCGTTCTTAGGCGTAAAAGTGCTTTACTTTTATGCCTAGGCGTTAAAATTATTTTTTTATACAGGGTGTCCGAACAGTATTCCGGAAACTTCGGCAGCATATTCTGTAGATAAAAATAAGTAACAAATTTCGTATAAATGTATT